ACGATAAATTCAGCTACTCGTAAAATTGACAAAACTCAAAATTGACTAGAGTATATATATCTCTCTTCCACAGCACACAGTCTCTAACATAATAAATATACATTTTGTTTGTCATCGATTTAGCCACATTTACTACTTAGGCGCGTAGAAACGACCCGAGTTACGAATGATATGACCCGAGCGCTTCAATTTTTTTCAGTGTGCATTTAACATCAAAACCTACTTGCTTGTCCTAGCACCGCAAAGTACAAAAATGCAAAAGAGCCTAAAGAGTTTTTTGGAGGCAACAATGCCGCATATTTTTTCAGATACGGGTATTTTCATTTCGAGAAAGCTGTGAGAAAAGTGGGAGTTATGTGAAAACTACCAAAAATTTAGTTGCAAAAGTGCGGTTGGTTCCTATTGAACTTTTTCGAAAGTTGGTAACACTTCTTGTCAGAATTTTGCATCCGAATAGGGCATTCTCGACATGAAAATTTCGGATAATGAGGACAATTTCACCGATTCGTGGTTGCGGCTTTGATTATCTATGAATTGATGTATTTCATATCAGGAGACTTTATTATTATTATTATTGAGATTTTCACATTCCACGTACCATACAAATCAATTGATACATTAAATTTTTTTAACATTTTAATATTAATTTTACAAATGTATGGTAAAAGCATATTGTACCAGTATTTTAATGTACTTTCTCCATTTATTCCATGATGGTACTGAATCAAAATGAACACTGCTTATCAAATACTATCTATTATATTCTATTGAAGAGGTCATATTATTGTTTTTGATGATGATACTAAACTGAATAAGTCCTGTTTGTTCAGTATTTTCCACAATATCTTGTTAGAAGTTCTTTATATTTGGGATATTTATATATTGTAATAGTATTCCAATATATTTATGACATTCATTCTATAGAAATACTGAATTGAATGAATTCTGTTTATCAATTCTCATACAGTATACTCCATTGAAGAAATTATGTCATTGTATTTGACGATTCAATATTGCTAATAGTATTTTAATGTATTTTTTCATTTATTTCGTAATGATATTGAATTGATATCAAATACCATTCACCTTTTTTCATTGAAGAAATTATATTATTGTATTTGATGATAATGCTGAAAAGAATGTCTGTTTGATGATTTCATATTGTAATAGTATTTCAATATTTTCATTACATTTATTCTATAACAATACTGAATTGAAATAATTCTGTTCATCAATTCTCATACAGTATACTCCATTGAAGGAATTATGTCAATGTATTTAACGATTCAATATTGCTAATAGTATTTTAATGTATTTTTCTCATTTATTTCGTGATGATATTGAATTGATATCAAATACATTCACCTTGTTTCATTGAAGGAATTATATTATTGTATTTGATGATAATGCTGAAAAGAATAATTTCTGTTTGATGATTTCATATTGTAATAGTATTTCAATATTTTCATTACATTTATTCTATAACAATACTGAATTGAATGAATTCTGTTCATCAATTCTCATACAGTATACTCCATTGAAGAAAGTATGTCATTGTATTTGACGATTCAATATTGCTAATAATATTTTAATGTATTTTTCTCATTTATTCCGTGATGATATTGAATTGATATCAAATACCATTCACCTTTTTTCATTGAAGAAATTATATTATTGTATTTGATGATAATGCTGAAAAGAATAATTTCTGTTTGATGATTTCATATTGTAATAGTATTTCAATATTTTCATTACATTTTTATTGTAATAGTATTTTAATATATTTATTACATTCATTCTATAACAATAGTGAATTGAATGAATTATGTTTATTAATTCACATACAGTACATATATTTGAAGAAATTGTGTCATTGTATTTGATGATTTGATATTGTTGATAGTATTTTAATGTATTCAACGAATTTATTTGATGATAATAACGAATTGAATAATTTCTGTTTGTTAAATGCTTTCCACAATATCTTGTTAGAATGTTTTTTTGTATTTAGGAAGCTTTTATTGTGATAGTACTTCAATTTTTTGATTACATTCAATGCATAACGTTCATATTGGTTCCTCCAGTTGAAATGTTATGGTTAATCAAACTTTTCTTGGGTTTGATTCTGCAGATCACATGAATTTTATTGCGTTTGCATTGCATAAAAGATTTTTTATGTATTGACTTTCATATCCGACGATTTTTGTCCCATCATTAAAAATATGACGAGTGGAATTTCATGAATTGATTTGTACACAGCCTGATATTCATAGTCACAACATAGAAATCAAAGATTTTTTTGAAATATGCGGATTGACGCCTCCTTTTGCTAAGCAGACGTTCCATATTTATATATACACAAAAATGAACAGTATCAGCTTGTTTGAAAGTGTATTAGAGGTAAATATGGAAGAAGCATATTAATGCATCTGGAACATACCACATTCAATGTGAAGTTTTCGAAGATATTATTCCTATTGCCATACAAATATTCTTGGACACTAAACATACGCCCAAACATAGTAATAATATATACATCGAGAACATTCAATAATATTTATAATAAACATTTCATTAGTAACAAAACGATAGAATCGCCGAATGCGTATATGATCAAATTCTTGCATGGCAACCAACGTAAACAAATGAAACACTGTACATATATAAAATACAAATTACCAACAATCAAGTGAAAATAATAAATTGCATGTATATCATAAAAAGGTTCAGTTTTGAATATATCGCACTACTATGTACAACCATGAATGTACAGAGTTAGATCGCTTCAGAACACGATCTAGATATATACCATGAAAAATTACAAATCCTATAGAAAAAAATAAGGGATTTACTCTCACCGAAACGATTGAGATGCTAGATGGAAATCTGCCTTAAATACGTTACATGGCAGTGACGGTTTTATTATACAAATAGTATTTGTGCAATTATCCCAATGAAGAAAAACTGTGCACACTTGCCTATAGAACTTTTTCCGAACATCCGATATTTCATTCCGTTCAGTGAAATCTCTTTGTCATAATGAAAATAAATATCTAGTCAACTTGTTTTCGGTTGGTTAGATATCAGACTCGCTGCTTCTTGCTGATGCTTCATACTTTTCGATTATTCATCGGACAGACAGTTCCACAGGTAAATGCACTCTAAAATAAAGACAGGTAGTCATCCTAAAGAGGTACCAACATGCTCACAAGCTTGATTGTATAATTCCAAAAAATATTTCATACAACTTTCGAACTACACCTCGTATATTCGGCATGGCGGCGGTAAAACGATAAAAAATAAGTCAACCCTGTGTATACGTAGAGTTTTTGGCATGTCGGATTCAGGATGATCGGGGTTATGAAAAATTCTATCAATATCACATGAAGAGACACTGCAAAATTGTTGCAGAATTATAGCTTTGAAACTTTTTTGGGGGTTCCACTATATACAGGATGTTTGTGAGTTAGAAATTCTGGACCCACTTCACGTTGTATCAAAATTTCCATGACAGACAATGTAATGATTCAATAGATTGGTCAAAGTAGATGACTCATGAATATATACTATTGACTGACATAAGTATTTAGAAGATAAACAAGGTAATGACCCACAAATCAGTAAAGTACTGCCATCACTGAAAAATAATAGCAATTATGTTAAAACTTCATTTGCTTGAGAGACCGAATGTTGAAAAATATCAAAATTTGTTTTCCCATTGTCTGCTTTGGCTGTTGAATGTATGATGAATAAATGAGTAATTAGATGAACGAATGAAGGAATAAATAAGTGTATGAATAATGAATAAATGTATTGAATTAAAAATAGACAAATAAATGCATAAATTTAATATTTCCATTTATCAATTAAGTGGGCTGAAAAGTTTTTGAAGCCAAGGCTCGGGTTGATGATTATTTGGACTTTAGACCAGGAAAATAAACCATTCAGTAGTAGTTTGGTGAAATGAGCACCGAGGACCATGCAAGAAGTGGACAGTAGATGAACAAAGCCGGTACGAGAACAAAATCCCATGTATTTTCTTATGGAGCTAAACTTTTTACAATTTTCAGGTCAAACGAGAGTGGGGAAGAGAAAAGTGTGACGTAATCGATGCAGAGAAGGGCGGACTGAGTATACGATAGCCTCCGTCCCACAACTGGAGCCCCCCTTAATACTTCCCCCCACCCCTCGGGCGCCCTTGTCACGTACCTGTCACGTGGTCCTAATTGAAAAAAGTTTATCGGTATGAGAATTGAACCCAGAACGTCGGCGTGGTGGGGTTTGTTCTTAGCCTCGACTCCAACGTGGAATATTAAAAGTAACTGCGAATTGTTGATATTTATAGCGGTTGTTTTGTCGTGACCGAAATTGACTCATTTCATTATACTTGACCGCACTTTTTAATTTCCGTAGAATGTTAGGGAAATTGTGACGTAATTGTCATGTTGAAGATAGGAAAATATCCTTAGATTTGGGGAAGAATTGATGTTCCATATAAAGGTGTGTGTGTATGTGTGAGTGAGAGACACGTGTTACGTAATCGACACAAAGAGATGGTATCGAGGTTATACGTTGCTAGTGCAAGCAGGTGTTGCCGGTTGTAAAATAAATCGTTGTTTATGGGGAGATCGCAAAGAGATTGTTACCGACGAAAACATGAAAAAAGTCCACAAAATAATTGTGGGTGACCGCAAAGTGAAGTTGCGGTCAAAGCAACAACTTATTGACGATTCTGAGCAGTGTATGCAGCTGTTCCACCATGAAAACCTCATCAGAATTGAAACAATCGTCATCTGAGTGGACAGGACGAGGTGAACCGACTCCAAAGCGTGCAAAGACGCAACAAGCGGCTGGCAAGGTTATGGTACCAGTATTTTGGGATACTGGTAATATTCACCGACACTCACATAGCGTTATTGGAGCGTTTGAGGAACGAAATAGCGAAAAAAAGACCCTATTTGATAAAAAAAGTGATGTGTCACATCGTGTCACAAATCAATGAAAACGATGGCAAAATTGCATGAATTGGGCTTCGAATTGATTTCGAATCCTCCTGTTATAAATGTAAGATTGAAGGAAAAAAACATGAACAAATAATGGTTAATCGATTGAATTATCTTGATTGTCTGCTTCAAGGAATTCTGGTTGCTTTGAATGGATACTTATACGTTGATGTGAAAAGTCCCATCAATGAGAATTCATTGACTTGATGCATGTACTAACATTGCGGTTATATGTTCCATAGATCCTGCATAAGTGAATCCCCCTCAGGAACAACGACGCTTGGAAATAGAACATTACTAATAGTCAGAAATTTTTTGAAGAACACTATCTCAGCACAATTTTGCGGCACTCTGAACAACCGAAGAAAAACCAAACAAATTGTGCAAACACGCAACAATTATTCTCTAAAGTTCCATTTAGATATTTGACCTATCTCTCATATAATATTCATTTAGCTACCAACTAAATTATATAATTTAAATATTAGTTAACAATGATTCTATTGATTCAGTTTGATTTCTAGCAAGCGAATACATCAATGTTTATGTAAAAGATAACTAAGACATATCTCATTTCGTATAGTAGCCATTCACGATGATGCGAGTCAAAATGGTACATTTACATCGATAATGGGCGATGATCTACATATATAAATACCCTAAGTGTTGTCTTTTAATTGTGCTGCCACAATAAAGAAGTGATTCGGTTGTGCCCTTGCCGCGAATTCAGTCGCTCTGCTCTCCATCCCCTTCCACGTCCTTCTCGCCCACCTCCCTAGTGTTGCTGTCCTCCGTCTCGATACTGCTAGTTGGGGTGGGGGTCTCTTCGACGTTCAACAGTCCGGACGTTGAACTACTGCCCGATTGCGTCACGTTAGGACTAGTATCATAGCTGCTATTCTTTCCTGGACTGTACTTCATGTCCGGAGAATAGCTGGTACCCAGGTAGCGACCTCCGATGCCATTAGTCTTGCCCTCTGAAGAAGCGTAAATCAAATCAGGGTCGTAGGAAATAGATTTGCTGTTCATCGTCGCGTATTTCGACGTGTCGCTGGTGTACGAGTCAAAAAACGACTTCACTTCCTTCGTCGGGCCGATGGTGTTGAACTTGTCCGAGTAATTCATCTCTCCGGGCGTGTAGCTCATGTAAGCTCCTGTCAAAAACGGATTCGTGCTAGCGTAGGTTGGAGCCTGAGCGTAGCTGGCGGGTTGAGAGTAGCTTCCGGCCTGAGAGTAGCTAGAAGGTTGAGAATAGCTGCTCGGTTGGGAGTAACTAGGCGGCTGAGAATAGCTGGATGACTGCGAATAGCTAGACGATTGGGAATAGCTGGATGGCTGAGAGTAGCTTGCTGCTTGGGAATAACTGGGCTGCTGAGAGAAGCTCCAGCCGTAACTCGTCGTCGCGGTCGTACTCTGCAAGCCAGTCAGAGCTGCGAATGAGGGGCTGGTACCTCCGAGGGTAACGTTCAGGCCCGCTGAGCTGGCCTGCATCGCTGGCGAACTGGACCTGGAAGCTTGGCCTAGCAGTGAAGGCGATGCCCTGCTCAGACTGGTGACGGAGGGCGAGTTCCTTGGGCCGGGAGAAGCGACGCTGGTGACGGAAGGCGAGTGCCTCATGGCCGGCGAGCTGATCGTGATAGACTGCGAGGACCGCAGCATCGTCTGCGAGGAGGGGGAAGCGCGGATGGCGGGAGAACTGACGCGGCTGGGCAGGCAGTGTTTAACGGATTCTGAGCCCGATTGGGAGTCGCTACTGCTGCTTGGTGAGCCTGGCGAACAGACTATCACTTGGCGCGGCCGCAGAGCTCCTGCCGACGAGGATGCCGCCGGGGGTCCGACCCGAGGAGACAGCGGACGGTAGGGACCTTTGCTTGCTGATGATTGGCCCTGTAAGATTAAAACAGTGAGCGTTTCCCAGTTTCGAGTGGCAGTAGAAAAACTATACGGGTTCTACACCAAAAGTATCGAACCCTCCTCTATTAAAAAGGGGGTTCGATGACTAAGGATCACATGTTAGCATGATCAGGCATTGATTGAATGGAGAATAAAATTATGTTTTCGATGTGGAACCTTTATAGCATGTCTACTTATAACAATAAGATGTATGCGCGAAGTGTATAGTGTTTTGGTTAGTCAGTGGATGAATTTGTTTTCACTTTTGGGTACTCAAAACAATATTATTTATTGAAGAATTCGCATGACCTTATTGCATTTTTGTTACAGGATCTGAATAAGTGATATATATCTGACAAGTCCACAACCCTGGGCTTCTAGGGTGAACATCAGTGGAAAATTACTCAAATGCTTCGGAATATTTTTTGATTACGAGCTATTTGAAGATGCCATAGATACTGACAAATAACTATGATTTCATTGAATATATTTGAAATGAAATAAAAAAAAATCTGAAAAGTTTCTACAAATTCTTCCTCTAGTTTTCCGTTTTGTTGAAATACTAAACATCAAGAACATGTAACTCCGTATGAAAGTGATTCAACCTATAGCTGTCAACTCTGTTTATTATTCAAGTAAGTTAATAAATTAAAATAGAGATTTTTTCAACTTGATCATTCATCACTGAGGATATCAAAAGTAGAAATACTTATATACATTATATTGAAGGTATTAACGCTAAAGTACGTTTTTTCACTTTTATACAGTAAAAACATCCTTAGCAACGAATATGAAATTAGATTTCTAGTTTGTTGATACTGTGCTTCACTTTATTATCTAGCTATTTTATATAATGAACATATCGTGGTATTAGAATTCTAATTTCAATACAAATCGATACTAAAACGGTCGCTATTTCTAAATTCGCTATAATACCTGTTCGATATTTGTGTAGTGTAGATAGAGGTGAGATGTTTTGAAAGGTCCTTAAGATGCATCTGGAGAACTTGTTTCCTTTATCATTAATATGAAGTTTCACAACACCCTTCCTTAGATATCATTTGTATTGATCCCAGTTCTTCAATTGCATCGTAAAATCAGAATAGAAATATGTAGAAACTTCAATACAATAAACCTTATTAAAATAAATTCTCCCTCTGAACTCAGCAGTATACTACATGATCAGTGATGAACAGTAACATTACCAATAAGAATTGTTCGTAGATACCATCAAGAGCTCCGGTCACAGGGAAGGAAAATCTATCGAACAATCTAGATCAGCTTCGGTTGTAATATAATTACCTTATGAAAACCGAAAAAATGAAACTTTATAGGGTATTTTCCTTCGCAAAACTCCTTAAACTTCATAACCAGATATGTAAGGAAACTTTTTCGTTCTCAGGATGTTTGTATCGTGAAAAATAGAACATCGAAATGTTATTGCCTCCTCACGATCGGCAACCCCCAGAAGAGGTTGTAGTCCCAATACAATAATGGAAAAAGATGCAAAACTTCTAAAACTTCATATAAGTAATGGAGATACAATTATTTTCAGGATGGTGCTATCATGAAAAATGGAACATCGAACATCCTCACGAACGACAACCCCCCGAAGTCCAGACTTGTGCGAGATGACGAATAACTAGGTTTTATCTTTCAACGTGCCATTCCTAGTATAATTGCATAACCAATAAACATTTTCTCAATTAATTTTGTTATTATAATAGAAGTTTCTACATATTTCGTTGAAAGACCCAACGACTAAACTCCATACTCACTAGTATCTGGTGTGATGGGACCTGTGGCTGTGGGCCTCGCGGGCCCGAGACTGCTGAGCGAGGAGGAGGAGGAAACGGAGCCGCTGAGAGCCGAGATGGCTCGTTGCGCTGCTGCTGAGCCCCCTGAGGACACGCACTGCGACTGTCTCCACGCGGCCCGGCTGGCCTGCCGCGACGACCTGTCTGGAAAGGCCCCCTCTAAATACCAACAACACCCCCACACATCGACACTAACTACGTTAAGGAAGGGTCTATAAATTGTGAGACCGCGTCAAACATTTCGGCTGCGTGAAATGTGCGTCGGTGGTGAATGGACAGAATGCGGAAAGAATATTTTGAGTAGATCTGAGGAACGTACCTTTCCAACAGTTTTGAGTTTTTCTTTTCAAATAACCGATATAATTGATAATTTCAGGTCAATAATGAAAATGCGGGACGGATCTGATATTTTACAGATCCAGCCAACTATATAAAGACATTCTTAAGAGATGTATTTAAAGTATCCAAGTTGTGATGAATCTCCCAAGCTTTCACTCTCAGGTGAGACCTATAGATACGAGTGAGATCTGTCTAGGCACGACTGGCAAATTACTGTCTAGGAAACAACAACATATCCAGATGATATCACGCCAAATGTTGAAGAAGATCCAGCAAGACGCATCTGTAACTGCTGACGAAGCTTATGAAAAGCTGGAAGGAATTATATCTGTTTGGAAATCTATAAACGATTCATCCGGACAGAATTGAATCACCAGCCTGTCGGTGATCATGCAGACCAGATGAAGTTAATATCTGCTTTTCATCCACAAGAAGTTACTTGGTTACTTGCAATAAATCATTCGAACGGAAGATGTTGTTCAGGTTTTTGATGGATCTTCTTCATCTTTCAGCCTAGCATTAGCTTGGTTTGTTGTTGTTTATTATATGCTACATGCACCTACAAATCTGTATGTCTCATAGAGGCAAATGTCTAGTATTATCGTCAGCACTGGAGAACTACCACTTAAACTAATTACTTTCAGTTCACTCAGCCTTTTTGCAATGAAATAACAATTTTGTGACTTTTTTAAGAATATAGTAAGGTCATTGATATATTTTTTATCGCACCGTGAACTATAAATGTGAACATTGGTACATTCCAAAGATCAAACAACTGTTTTCGATAATAACCGCTTTGAAAGAATGAAAGATATATTGCCTCAGAAATATTATTTCTGGTGTTTATCAATATGATTTCCTAATGAGTTGATGTGCTGTGGGTGTTGTGATTTTAGAATCATTCAGTGTTGAAATAGCTATGTATCGTTAACGTTGTTACAGAAGGAGTCAACATTGAATTATTCTAGGACGTTATCTACAATCTATCTAAGCTATTCATGTCTAGTTACTGTACCAAGTTCTGTGGAAAGTCGTAGAAATAGATGAGATGATCACTGGTTCGAAGATATCCACTACTGATCAAGCAAAAGAGATTGCCAAAAGGAGTCAAAGAGTGCTATAAAAAAGTGTTGTGTGAATTCATAACACTGCCCTTTGGTTTGAAAATTGCGCCTCATGCTTTTCGAAGTATTATGGTTCTAGGCACCTCAGTCATTATCAAAAATATAACTTTCGTCCATGATACGTCAGTATCATGTAATATAGTATACTAAAAATCTAGTCCTTTATCCCAACACATGAAAAAAAATGCTATGCATAGGGATACAAAAAAGTGATGTTTGGTGCAATATATTGAAGGTCTGATTTCAAATTGTCTATTATGGTGATTTTCTTAGATCAGCATCTTTTCTCAGAGCATTCTATCTCGATTCAGTTCCACGAAAGCATTTCAAACTCCAACGCTTGCACATTACATTGGATATGATCTTCAGTTATCCTCAAATAAGTATACTCATTGAGGACACCATAAATTCTGAGTCATCTACGACTCGTCTTAAATTTTTATGTGCATATTGGCGCCTTTTTCTTTTCAAAATCAGGTTCTTAATATCTTGCACCAAATATCATTGTTTTTAATTTCCATGCAAAGTAGAAGCGAACAAAAATACTTTTCAGACCTTCGACTCCCTTAAAGCAATCTCTCGAAATCTAGACACCTTAATCAAAACTAAGTAGAAATACAGCTCTCGTGGACAACTCCACATTACCTGAGTGATGGTGTTTGGGCGTTGGCCAAATTTGAAGTAAGTACTTGAGAACGCTAATCGGTTGCTGATAATCTATTTCATGGTGGGGTTTCGAGGCTGCGGTGGGAGTTATCGAGTCGCTTGTTTGAAGCATGAGGGGCGGAGCTAGAGCTGTCGCCAAATTCTGGGCTGACATTTTGTTGCGATCCGAAGCCGAAACGACGAGGGCCAAATGGTCCATGAGGAAAATGAGGGTAGCCTGCAAAAAATAGAAGAATATTTTCGAATATTTCCACCAGACCCGAGGGCTGGTGAAAAGGCATGAAATTCAGAGTCATCCATATGAAACAAAGAATTCCTTACGATCCAAATATTTGAAGGTGAAGAAAACCTCAATGGTGAATAAGAATAATAACTTAGTTACTTGTCATGAGTTGAGAAAATATTTGAGCAAGGATCAAAAGGATACTCGTGAAAAAGACTCCAGACCTCTGTCTAGAGAAGACGTTTTGTCATTTCATCATTTTCATAAGCTTACCCACTTTGTTGGTTCTTAGCAAAACGCAACAATAATATTCGATTGAACAAAAGTCTTCTGGCATTCAATGTGACATGGTCGACGGGAAATAGCCAGTTCTCTTCCTATGTTAACCTCAAAAAACAATCAACCACAGCGGTAACTTCAATATCACTCACCCTGTTGATTCTCGGCAAACAATCCAATATGGAGAACATGAGTTTAGCGTTGCCTTCTGGATCGTCCGGCAAGCACACGCCTAGGGCGTCGACCATCATCTGGTAGAGACATTTCGTAAATAGGGGCTCCGGTAGTTCCCTCAAATAGTCCTTGAGGACGCCGGTGATAACGTTAATGTCCGGCACGTTGTCAGGGCTGAGATCAACAGATCGGCTGTTGCGTTCAAAAGCTTCTCTGAGGATCCGTTTCTTGGTTGCGGATCCGCATAATCGATACAGACCTAGAAAAGGAGGATTAGGACTCCAACTCCGCATATTGCTATCAAAAATATACACACCAATGATATCCAGACCTCTTCTTTCCACTTCTTCGACACATCGCTTTACTATAATAGGAATACTGTGTTGGGGACTCGCTACTAAACCTGTCGCGAGTCCTCCAGGAACACCACCAGTCTTACATTCTCGGTTCACCTGAAAAAAAAAATGCAATAACGAATAAACACACACACTGAAACAAAATTTGAAATCACGAGGTTGTGACAAAAGATATTTAGTAATCAATGATATACTCTGATGACTGCTGTATCAATGTTAGAATTTCATTCTTCCAACCGAATGTACTACCTATAGATAGGAAATGTCAATCAAGGTTCAGGTTTGAGGAAAATGAAATACTCACCACAGTCTCCAAATCAACTCCGAAAAGAGGAGTGGTCCTAGACAAGGTGAGAGTAGAGAGCATTCTTCTTCTGTAGAGTGTCTGGGATTCGGTGTGTTTCAGTCTCAAATAAAGTGTGCCTGAAATCGAGAGTTGATATCATTTTATATGAACCATGATTTTAGATAAAGATAATTCAGTTATTATTACCGATACAACTCTTTCGAATTCCAATATTTTGATGAGGAGGAGGTCTAGAAAATCACCTATTATTATCCAATATGATCCTATATCCCTAGGGGAAACAACTGAAGCACTGACTGATATATTGAGTGTATTTTTGAAGCCTTATTGATAAGACTCAAATATATATTACGTGTTCTTACCTCTGGGCTCAATTTTGAGAGCCAATTGGTGTATAGGACCAGACTTGAGCAGCGTAGGTAAATAGACGGAGCCCTTGTAGCACAGTTTGTGTCTGTACTGGGGATCCCAAGAGTAAATCAAAAGATCCAGTTCCCTGTTGTTCACCAGGTCAAGTTCGAAGCTCTCGTCCCAATCGAATACCAGATCACCGGTTCTCACCTGAAAATAGGATATTTCATGATTTTTCGTAAATGTCAGCGGATGTTTTCGATATTACTCACAACAGTGCGTGCTTTATGCACTCTATCGCATTCCAAAACACAGTAGAGGTCTCTCACGACAGCAGACCCTGCAAAATATAAGGAATCTGAGATTTCTCCGAATATTGACATTGGTCAGACCGGTAGATGAAACGGGAAGTGTTTCAGGGAACATACCTGTAATACTAGGAGATGCCCCGCTTGGTGTGACAGGCGTTGTTGCTGCCGAAGTACCGGCAGAAGTTCGCAATCCTCTTCCAGCGAGAAGGTGAACCCAGAGCATACCGCTGACAGGCTCATCTGACGAAGACGCTAGTGTACCCGTGCCCGTGGCCAACTGGGAAAGACCTGGAACCAATTCATGTTTCCATTCATTGATGTATAAGAGTATTTTTCTGATTAACGGAAAAACGCTGATTAACGGGAAAACACATTTTAAACAGATTTTTCGGAAAATATCCATACTCTGGATTGGAACAGTATTATACATGGTTGATATAAATGTACATTCAGCAATATTGAAGAACTTGTTAGACAATAAGTAAACAATAATATTTTTCACGTCTGCCTACAAAATATTATCCTTTTGCAGAAAACGTGACAATGGACAACAAAATACACACAACAGAATTTTTGACGACCGGATAATAGACGAACGGACAGACAGATCGCCAAACAAACAGGTAGACGGACAGCCAGATGGACATACAGGCAGACATTTGGGTAGTCAAAAATAGGCAGACAGACAGATGGACGTACCTACAGATAGTCAGTGAGAGGCAGACCACTGAATATTTAGAATATTTAATTTTTGAGGACACAAAAATCCGAAGCCTTTCCGCTACGTCTATAGAGCTTACCAAAAATCCATAAAGAAAATGTGGCACCTATGAGCTGGACAAATACTTCACAACCCTACTGCAGCTATTTATATGAAATACAGTGTAATTTATTGAGGATTCGGGACATTTTATCGAAAAAAGTAGATATATGAAGTTGGTCCTAGGGACACTAGTGAGCTTCGACGTGGTATCCTTATACAAGAAGTTCTGAATCAAGGACACGACACTGTTAATCAGCGAAGTATTCCCAGCAAATGATACCACCCTCTTTGCTCAATATTTATCATCAACTCATTTTCAGTGGGATGGTGTTTTTTCAAGAGCACCGTAATGGGCAGTCTGGGCAAACTTCATTATGGAAAATTCCAAACAACGGGTCTAAGAGCAAGCAGTCGGCATGATGTATCTGTGAACCTAGAGTCTTCCTGAGAAACTCAATCACCTGAAGAATGCCTTCAAAAAGAATGGGTGCAGCGAAGGAACATTCGAGCGAGCCACAGGACCCAGGAGAGAGAACAACAAATTAATCCAAGCTAGGCTGGTCAAGGCAAAAGCTTTTCTTTCCTATATTAAAAATGTTACAGACCAGTCTAATGTCAGTTAAGGGTCCCAGAGAACCTTAAGCAATACCTGGGTAAACCGGATTCCTTGTAGCTGCGGACGAATCGTGTGTCTACAAGCTAAAATGTGGCTCGTTCCCAGAAGTTTATATTGAAAGGAAATCTTGAAACTTCAAAACCAGAATGTCTGAACACAAATCAAGTTTTGAATTAATTGAAACCAATTCAACCTATGCATGTCATCTGTTGGAAAACAATGACAACTTCCATACAAACTAGAACGAATTACATACAGAAAATTGAGGACATAAATCAAACCTGTTACAATCGCTGGTAATCGAATTTCCAATCGAACGACCAACAAGAAGTTGATATCTCACCACCGTTGAATTTAGGTACAATAAATTTTTTCTACCATCAGTCAAATCATTAGTAAGGACCTGCAGGCTACCTCTTCTCAAACCTACTTATTGATCAATTAGTATTCTCTACTAATTGATAATTTGTATAAATTGTATTGTAAATGAGTGCAGAGTACCAGTCCAACTGAGGAAACTACTATGTGGTGAAACGCCCATTGGAAATAAAGTCTGTATTGAGAAAATTCGTAATCACTATCGTGAATAACTAGGGAAATCATCAAAAACTACAATCGACTAGAAAAGTTTATCGAATTCTTAATCTACTTTTTGTAGGCGGGCAAATAACGCTCATCCTCTTGACCCGATTACCAAAACTCACCTGTTATCGACGTTCCGGCCACCATCCCCGGCTTGTCGAGTTTGTATTTGAGAAATTCGGCGGGGTTGATGTCGAGCTGCCTCTGCCCCCTCGGCAGGGTGCCGCTAGGGGTTGGAACGGGACTTGGGGCTCCGGTTCTGACGGAATCTAGGTCGAGGAGCTGTCTCATCCGACGCATCGAAGGCGATCTCGAACTACTCAGAGCTGGAATTCGATAATGAGTTCATAAGTTTCAGATTTAATGATGATGATATTCATTCATCAGCATTTCACAAAAGAATTTAGATAGATACCGATACCTTCACACCGATGAAAAGAGAAAAGATTCCGTAGGCTAACATAGAAAAAAACATTTTTTGGTAAAACTTGATTTCATTATCCAACATAGTTGCCTCCGAGGGCGAAATGAAGATTATATCCGGGTTTGAGTTGTTTACTAGAAGTAAATGGGTATTTAACTTAACTAACACTCTCTCGCTTGGCTAGGCACGCGCTGCCCTTGAAATGTAGTGTGCGCATTTTAAAACTTTAGCTGAGGAATCGAGTGAAGTCTAAAAGCTCTAAAAACATGATTTTTTTTCTGTGACGCATTGCGACCGCGGGTCGTAGTGATACGCCCGGGGCCGGATGCGGCTCGTAGGTCGAATCTTTGACACGACTGGTATACGTGAACATATTCAATGGGGTTTGTTATTTGAACTTCCATAATTGATTTTCGATTCATTTTCAAACTGTCGGAAACCATACTCAGTTTTCGAGTGAAACTATCAAAAGATTTTTTACCTGATGCTGTGATATGTTGCGTCGACAAAGATCTTGCAGGGATGCTGGGTTGTTGTGATCTCGTGAAGTGCCTGTCCAGAGTTGATGTTGTTCCTGGACGTCCGTATCCGCTATATAATCCACTTTCCATCTGGAAGATAAAGTATTTTGATTTGAATTTATCTTACGTCAATTGAAAATGGTCAATGTACCTGTAATATTTTCAAAACTGGAAGAAAAATCAAATGGTAAGCAACATTTTCGGCGAACTTTTCTCTATGAACTGGGCTGCCGAACCAGACCGAAAAATTAACCGAGAACTTGGCAATGATAGTGTTAATGAACGCACTGTTAGGCGTTGGTTTGCAAAATTTCGTTCTAATGATTTCATCCTCGAAGATGAGCCCCGAGGTGGTCAACCTATAGTAATCCAGAACGAGGGGTTGAAAACCCTGGTGTAGAATGACCCATCACAATCGGTGCGTGGGAAGGCGGAAGAACCAGGCGTCACCTCGCATGCGGTCCTTGATGGTTTAAAACGCATTGGAAAAGTCAAAGAGCTCGAAAAATGGGTGCCCCACGATTTGAATTGACAAAAATTGTCACGTGTTTAAGTCTGTTCTTCTGTTTTCGCCAACCAAAACGATCCATCTTTGGATCGGATCATCACGTTTGATAGAAAGTGGATCCTCTACGACAACAGGAGCACAGTGTTTGGACACCAATGAGCCAACCAGGCAGTTCCCAAAGAAAACTCTGCTACGGAATTTATTTTTAATGAAGTGTATGGATAAAACTGGAGTGTTTTCCCAACACAAAACCGTTATTTCAACATCTCAACATGTGTTTCGATCACCAAGTGATCAACATGTGTTTCGATCACCAAGTGATCATCTTCAAGAGGAAGATTTAACTAAACTGTTTAGTTTATTCTTCCTCTTGAAGGCGATCACTTGGTAATCGAAACACGTGTCGAGGTATTGAAAATAACGGTTTGGTGTTGAGATAAAATTCCAGTTATATTCATCACTACCCAAACAGTGCATTACAAGTACATTCTCTTCGGTAATTGAATTACTGTTGATATTTTTACAGCGAATTATTTTATTTAGCACCTTGTTGCACTGTGTCAATAACTTTAACGTTCAAATTATATTCTGTAAAGCAAACCACACTACTCCCCACGTCATAAGTAAATTGAATTGGAGAAGTTGGATGGAACTTCCAAACTTTTAATCGTACTTCTTTGTGTACATTTATTTTAATTTAAAATTTTCCGAAACTGCATTTTACTTGTTACCGACTACTTTACTTTCAACGAAACTGTTTATTAGTTTGAGTTGGAGCGAAAGTTTGATTATATCTGGATTCTCGAAGCATGTTATTATAATATTATTGTTATATCTTCGGAGTCCTGCAGAATTGGTATCATTTCTGAGTGAAGCTTTTCGTTCCTGTGCAATTTTGAGATTTATTATCAAACATTTCCATTTGATGGATTTCGCATCTTTCAGTGCCATTATTCATGATTGTTTTTATGACATTATGTCCCGGACGGGAATAACAGTAAAAATGAATTTTCTGCTTTTCAGCTTATTCAACCTTAAGACAAAATAAGATAAGGTAAGGTAAGATAAGATCTTTATTTTTCAGTAGACAACAAGATAAGATGAGGTGAGATAAAATAAAATCTTTATTTTCCAGTAGACAATAGGATAAGATAAGGTAAGATAAGATAAGATGAGATCTTTATTTTCCATTAGACAATAAGATAAGATATGGTAAGATGAGATAAGATCTTTATTTTCCAGTAGACAACAGGATAAGATAAGGTAAGATAAGATGAGATCTTTATTTTCCAGTAGACAATAGGATAAGATATGGTAAGATGAGATAAGATCTTTATTTTCCAGTAGACAACAGGATAAGATAAGGTAAGATAAGATGAGATCTTTATTTTCCAGTAGACAATAGGATAAGATAAGGTAAAATGAGATAAGATCTTTATTTTCCAGTAGACAATAGGATATGAGAAGGTAAAATGAGATAAGATCTTTAGTTTCCAGTAGACAACAGAACGTTGTATAGGAATACATAAAAAATAGAAATCTAAATTGATATAAGTTTAAAATTCAGAACATACAATTCGAAATTCAAAACAAAATCTAAAATTTGAAGTGAAAGACTTCATAATCTGCTAAAAAAAATTCGAGCAGGAACAACACTGCTAGCAATAGTTTCTCGTTCATCCATTAGCAGGATTTCATTTCGAAATATTCATTTTCTTATATGAATATCGAGAAATGGTTCTTTCGCCACAATTTCGGGAACAAATCGTTTCAATACTTACATTTTTCAAAGCATCGTGAATATTCTCAGCGCTGTATGTAAATCTGGCTGCTCGTTGTTGATTCAGAACGTCTCTTGAAGCCCGGATTTGTTCGTATATGGCCGACGTTGATGGTGTTCTGCTCAGCCACTGCCTGTATTCATCTGTAAAAACATATACATTTTTCAAAACTTCAAGGCTTTTGGCTTTCATTTTCTTGTACAAAAAAGTGTGGGAAACTTCGTGTAATTCGATATTCGTTTGAAGCTAGTTGTTTCGAGAGAGATTAAAAGGCGATTCAATCTCCCGATTCGAATTATTCAGCGAGAGTCTGGCGTCGCTTCGCTAAATTAATTCGAAAGCCCGTGTGTTTCCTCTCGAAAAGACTTGTGCTCGCGACAGATACATCACCTTCCATTAATCCGGTTATTGATGATGTACTCCTCAGGATTAACGACCCAGTTCGTGTGACGCGTACTCAACGCTCATGGAGAGGTTGTTGGACGTGTTGACAGATGACGTATCTGAAAAGCTGGCGTGAACAAGCAGTTTTTGTTGACAATGAGATGTCTAATACCGGAATTACTTTTTTTTTGTTTCTGTTAACAGTGGCAATAAGTAAGTATGAAGCCTATAGAATATGCAAACGTTGGGTTGGCAAATATAAACAGATTGAATTGAATTATCTGAAAGAACAATTGGTTCAGACTAGTGTCAACTCACCTACACTTCAGGTTGATGGACTGACATCAATCAAAAAACAACTACGCCCCTGGCTGATACCACGAAGGGCGTTGGATTATATCCGATAAATGTCAGTGTGGGATTCTTCACAAAAGCGATTTCTGCATATGCTGTTGGCAATACAACTGCCGGAATCGATTTCCAATTATTGGAACAGGCACAGTTGCAGACCGGGCTGTTTGGCCACTCGTCAGTGCAAAGTAGTGTCCATCATCAACATGGAGTCGATGATTTCCAATAATTGAAAATCGAATTCCTTTCAGGGTATCATTTCTCGAATAATGCTGAAGCCAACAACAAACAACATATTCGTCATCGCCCCACCTGATTGGTCTAGGCTAGTAATTCAAACTCATCTGTTCGATGAATTAATCATATATCAAATCTAGCGCTGTTTCTTCGTGATCAAGATGATTATCTACGATAAATTTTACCTGAATGACGGTTGGAGAGCTTCAGAAAGGAAAGTTTCAATGCGGATGAAGATGTGCGTTTAAGAGTTTCGAGCGAACTGCCCTGCAGCAGCAGGGATGCAGCATTGTAGCTGCGCGCGACACGTCCCTTGGATAAGAGTGTTCTTGCTATTAGATCGTTCAAGTGGTAATGATAGCGATATATTAGTTGATACGTTAATCATATGCACTATTTTAAATGAACTTACCCTAAATTCCAACCTCAAATGCTAGAATTGAGACAGCGTGCTTCTACGGATCGCTACGTCAGTAACATATTCATTGTCGGATTTATTGTCAGTATAATGTAATAAAAATGGCTGGGAGGTATTCAACTATTGAGTCTATGAGTGATTTTAACGTATGATTTTGTTGTTTCATATTTCACAATTTCATATTGTACTGTGTCGATACATTACTTGAACATCTGCCTACTTCACAAATAATTCCCCACATTGCCACCTCCATATTTTCCTTGTTCGGTGTAGTTCACACACTCGCATCATAAAACTTCAACGCACCTCTAACTTTCCGCCCTCATCGTCCCAAACCACCCTTCGCCGAAACCCCGAAAGTTAAATATTCCACTTACCGCGCTCTCTTCGGATCGAAGAAGGCATTTCGGGAGCTGAAAGTGCTCCGTCCGATTCGTCTTGCAGCAGGGATACGCTTCTATCTCCGAATCTTTTATTCATCGGCAATCTGAAAAAGACCATTATCTAATAACAAGTCATTTCGGTTTTTCCGATGCCGAAAGTTTTTCTGGTGCGTGTCGGATTATGCCAGGATTATGGTTTTCAGTAGGTATTAATGGATCAGCTGAAGTGCACTTCGTGCCGATTTTGTTGGAGTCGGGAAGTTTTTTGGGAAATATAGAAGACAAGAGATGAGAGCTTCCCCCCGCCCATATGACTCCGATTCAGAACTGGAGAACAAACAATTCATTAAAATATGCAAGTATAAAGTCAAAGACGTAACTGGCATTCAAAATTGAATACTTGGGAGGGTGATAACATACCAAAATATAACTTGGAATGAAGCTATGAGTAACATTTTTTCTTGCCTCCCCTATGTGAACAGGGAGTTCCATAAATGCTGCTATCGGAGGTGATTTTGTTGCTCTCATCATTCCATAACAACGAAGTCGTTGCACTTTACTTGGTTTGTTACTAACAGTAACTAGTGTAATCTTCGTCACAAAACCGAAGAAGCATATGTTATCATAGATTTAAGCATCGTTGATCATGCCCAAATTAGCATTTTTGGTTCTAGCCACCATGTCTAACCAGCAACAGTGCAACCTCCGTCGTTTTTTATTCTTTTATTCTGATTCAATATTGGTTCCAGGTCAGTCTATCACAAAGTATAACTTCCAAATATTCAATCCCCTTCAATAATAGTACCATGAGTTATAGAGGTTCTAGTCCTACTATTTTGATCCTCTTGGTGATCTATTTGGATGGGATTATGTTGAGCCCTTCTTCCACAATCCATCTTTCATACTCCACTCACCGCACTCTCTGCGGATCGAAAGAGTTTCAGGAGCGGAGGAGTCCCCATCCCCATAATCTGACATAGACCATTCGGCTTTTTCGATACGAAAATATCATCATATCATTGGAACATTACAAGTGAGTTTTTGAATCAACTGTATTACAAAATGGCTATCAGCAGCAGGAGTTTATCGCATACCGTGCACTTGTGGAAAGGTATACATCGGCAACACCAAAAGATCCTTGAGAACAAGGCTGAAGGAGCATGAAAGAAACTGCAGACTGGGCCAAACGGACAAGTCGGCTGTGGCAGAACACGCACTCAGTGAGGGAAACCGCAGGATTCTGTTTGAAAACACGGAACACATTGAATAGATCACTAAAGCCGATTCTGGGACACCAGCCAATGAGAGCGCGGTACAATTTGATGTTGCGCAGTTACGCTTTGCGCAGTATGGCTTGGTTCGGCGTACTATGTATCGATTCTGCTCGAATCGTTATCTTTCAATATGCGATAACGCTGCTCGATTCTCAACCGTATGCGTGACCTTGAAAGATAACATTTGAGCGAAACTGATACCTAGTACGTCAAACTGGTGTCCCAGAATCGGCTTTGGTGATCTACTACATTGCCCCAAACAAAAATACCCTAGCCGACTGGTACGGGAGGCAAAAAAAACTCAAACACACGGACCGTTAATCAGGATGTATAAACATCTGAACACTTTGTTTTCATAGTTCAACTCCCTTTTCGAATCATCGAAGTATTAGGTGCTGGAAAAAGAAAAAAATTGTCAGGAAAAACTTGGAAAAGTCAGGGAATTTGATTCAGTGAAAGTGCCGTGTACCCTGTTAGATTCCAAAAAGTATTATGGATACAGAGCACATAATATACGAGTATTAATACACTCTGATCATTTCATGGCGGTGTAATAGCGTTGAGAGGAGACATGTAATACGTGAAAAATTTCCCGTTTCCATACCTCGTCGATCCTCTGGAATCACGCGGCAGCGAGTTGAATTTGGTTGTGATGTCTGTGGCTGTCATGGAATTTTGACGTCCCAAAGTGGGAATTGTGCTATGAGGGACCGCCGATGCGCCTTGATTCCTGCGGAAAAAAAATGAGTGGTTAGATTTTGGAGATGCCACGGTATGAATTTCAAAATGAGCGTAGGGCATTAGCATTGGTGTACGATCATATTTGTATATTCGTGTGAAGAAGTGATAGTGGTACATTAGTTTATAAAACTGCGTGCGTTTGATATTAAAACAGTTCCTGCAAAGAATACAATGAATAATGAATAATAAACAAATTATAACTGGAGAAATGAAAGAAATTCTATGTGATGACAGACGAACGTTGAGCAACCTGATGGCATTTTTGAAAGCCGCAAATATAATAGATGGAGTTTGAAAAACAAACAAGTCCGAGGCTAATAACCTAGCAGTTGATACCGCAAAAAAAACAAATCCGAACGAATCATTTCAAAATTGTTCGTATTTGAATTTCTCATAAAAAAAGAAAGAAAAAGTGGGAAATTCAGCAAGAATCATGCGTGCCGAACCATTCGTTTTCACACATATTTTTCACCGCTCCGAAAAATCAACGTACAACGAGTGTCAATAATGAATCCCTTCTTTCTCGAATCCCCCGACACCCTATGACCGTAAATATTTCCAAGCTCTCGGTCTGATCCCCTTCACCACAAAACATACTTCTTCCACCTAATCAATTAATCATCAGTACCTTTCAGTGTTTTTACATGCATAATTTTCAGTTATGGAATCAGAACGGCTCCCACTCTGCTGTTTCATTGAGATAAACGATCAGCGCGAGAAATATGTGGCACCGCATTAGGTTTCATTATTTTGAGGAAGTTTATTACACCGAAAACGGTGGAATTTTTCCTCGAACTCCAGAAATAATAATTCCAGTATCACTATTCAACGCATTTCACGTACAGCGAAGATATCAGGAGATACTGTCTAATGTACAAAGACAGGTTATAGCAATATCATCTTCAACCTTCCGGTAGCGGCCATGAACCCTTCGAGACCTATATCCTCTCAACATCTTTCTGGAAAGATAAGTTAGATGGACAACATATAAACATAGAGAACTGTGCATGTAACAACTGACTGACACTGAAAGTTACAGCATTTGGAAAATATCTACAACTCAATGCCTCCAGCAGTCAGCTATAACCTCCTCATGCAGTCCCAATCTTGAGTATAGAGGGCTGGATCCTCCGAGAGGAGGAACAGATAGTAGAGATAATACCTTCAGGTTCTGGTGCAGCGAAAATTTACTCCATTGATTTATATGTGGAGAGATACCAATCTCACAATGAATCAATACATCACATACGGCCAAACATCTATGAAAGCACTTGTTGATCCCCAAACAACTTTCAAGTTGGTGTTAGACAATAAATTGTCGCTGGTATGGACTCTTACCCATACTGATCAGGGAGCTAATGAAGCTTCTGACTTTTTTCATCGGACCAGAATCTATAGTTTTTGCACTGCTTCACACCAAAGACCTGGACTGCAAAACGGGTTTCCAATGCATTCCATACCCTTTGTCATCAAATTTTGTGAGACTACAGCAGGGGTGAGTTACATTGTCTAACCAGGCCGTCTCACTTTGAAAGCAATCTAACCTAACTTAACATTTTCATTTAAGTTGGGATACAATGATGGCAACTCACCTATAGTAATAATAACCACTTCGGGATCCACTGGTTGCTTCGGTGTCGCTGGAATAATCCAGGCTACCTCTGTTTCTCCGCATAGTACCAGAAGTTCCGTACTGAGTACCAGTAGTACCATACTTAGCTTGAGCTAGTTGAGCTGCGACTGCGGCTTGATCCACGAATCTTTGGTTATATCTGAAAAATAACGTCTCAAATCAATATAAGGTATCACATGATGATCTGAATAACTTACCTGCTCATAGTTGATCCCGATTTGAGACTACTGCGCAGCAAGCTGTGCCGCCCAGCCTGGGTGATACTGGTGTAATCAGAATATTCCGTTTGGGGAAGATGCTGGTCGGACCCAGATCTGGGCATTATTCTACGACTTCCTGTACCTGAATGTTGGACGTAGTAGTGGGAGGATGGACTTTGCTGGGAAGATATTCTGCTGCAAAGAAATAGTAGAAGATAAATGAAATATTTCAGAGATGGAATTGAAGGCAATCCTAGGCAATAAGGTGATTCTCTTCAGAAAATGTAATGCAAACTCGTCAAGTGTTGAAATGCACGATTCTAGACGTACTGATAATAATAATATAACATATTTTAACAAAATTGGTTCAAGACTGTGTCTCGTAATTTACTTCAAAGATTTATATAATGGAAAAAGTCGATATCAACTTTTTATTTGGAACAATTCGAGATGAGTGACACTGTTTTCCATATTTATGTAGCATCCACTGGCAAATGCATGTTTGTTATTCCTGGAGATTCAGTTTCAGAAATTTTTAAAATAATGTGCTCAACGCAACAGATATAATTATTAATAATACCAGCTTTGGAAAAACTATTGAAACTAACTTCAAGTGACAATTGTAGTCCAGTTACGCGATCGCCCTCTGACTCTATAATATTGTTTCGATTACAGTAGGGAATTAGGGTTCGAAACTTTACGTGTAAGGTGTTAAAGTTTTCAAGTTGCATGATTGACCAGGCAGGGTCGTATTGCTCACATTTTTCACACCAGCAAATTCAATATACATTTTCTGAAGATCCAGTTTCACAAATTTTTAAAATAATGTGCTTAACTCAACAGATATGATAATTACTAACACCATCTTTGGAAAAACTATTGAAACTAACTTCAATTGTAGTTCAGTTACGCGATCACCCTCTGAAATAATAATATTGTTACGTTTACAGTAGGGAATTAGGGTTCGAAACTTTACGTGTAAGGTGTTACAGTTTTCAAGTTGCATAATTGACCAGGCATGGTCGTATTGCAAATAATTGCTCACGTTTTTTCACACCAGCAAATTCAATTCACCCTCCATCTCTAACAGGAAATTCTTTTCCGGATATATTGTGAACGGCAAGATCCAGGGCGACCGTGACTGAAAGATTCATCAATGTCCCGATCATTTGTTATTTCTCGCAGGGACGCGTTCATTCCGGAAAGTGAGCGTCCTCAATACGCGTCTTAAAGGGAAATCGAGGAAAACAATGACTCGAGGAATTTTCCCGGTACAAAGACCATTCTTCGCATTCAATAACTTCGACAAATACAATTCCGTCGGCTGGCAATATCGACTGCTCGCACACAGTGCAGTGAATAATGTCCAATAATGTGCTGCGGTACTGAACGTTCAACACGAACAAACAACTTTGAATACCCCTCCAATAGTGAATGAGTGAACAATGCATACCAATGAAAAGTTCTCAGCTTCGATAATGTTTATTTTGTGAAGAGTTCAGGAAAAGCTATTGAGTTGAACTTAGAGATATCTAAATCAGTTGAACACTTCTGAGTTGAGCATCTACAGAAGAAAGATACATCTGCTTTTGCAGCTCCCAGACCTTGAAGGAATCGGGAGACATTTCCTCACCAATGAGCGAAAAAGCTTGAGTAACGTTACCTAGTTAATAATACGTTTCTTAATCATCCATCTATTTCATTTCGGAAGGGTAACTCTAGTCACTATGAGCAGAGCTTGCTTTGGCGTGTGTTGTTGGTAGAGATTGGCAAATTTGTCGCGGTTTTGCAAACTGTCAAGTATAAATTTCACATTGAAGTGTTATACGTTATATACGTATACGTATATACGTATACGTATACGTATACGTATATACGTATACGTTATATACGTTATATACGTATACGTTATGGAATATGTAGAGAGTAATTCCAACTCAAGGACTATTATAGAGAAATTTGGCGCAGTCAGTAGGATAACTTAAATTTGTCGTTTCTGAACAACTTAAGGAAAGATCAACTTCATATCTTCAACTGAGCTCCATACCGAACGCGCAACATAGAACGTAGATATCAGAACTTCTACCTATTCCTCAAATGCGCTCCAAAACATAAACGTATCGGACTATTCCGCCAGACGTTACCGCATACAACATCGATTAATTTCGCGAATGGTCCATTCGTCTCTCTAGTCGAATTACATTTCCATCTCCAAATGCGGACTCTTCGAAGCGACTGCATCGCTGACTGTTCGTGTTCTGCCGCGTGGACCAAATTCCATTTAGTTCGTTGTTGCTATCGAATCATCGGTAATTTCAATGTACCGGTTATGGGGAATTGTGAACGGATAATCGAATTCTGAGGTCGATGTTCAGGTTTATGTGATTAATAGGAAAACGAAATTGAATCTTGGAAAGACCGAGAAATCCTCGTAGAAAATAATGGCATGCGATATCTGGGACATTGTTACACTTTTGGAAGTTTCGAAAGCCGCTAGATCAGTTTATCACCTCTTCTTCATATATTTTTTTTTCATAACTACTGCAGGTGCAAAATGCTACTTTTGTTCAGAATGAACATATATTGAACACGCACATTCTTCAAATTCATCCTTCTTCAGAATATTTTTCGCAATCTTCAGCAACCACCAGCCATCATAAAAAGCCAAAATCGAGAAGAGCAAGTAAAACTTCCAGAGCTGTTTAAAGTTAGTGGGGTTTTAATTTTCTGTCGATTCAGTAGATATTACCCTTGTAAGGAAAGTTGTTATGTTCACTACTGGGTCAGGATTGCTTCATTTGATGGGGAGTTCATGTTTGTAACTGGAAAACTTTTTTTTGGTACCTTGGAAGCTGTCTGACTTGTTCATTTAGTCCAAGTCTCCAGAAAACACTGCAGCCTCTTGGGCTTATTGCGTTTATTCTCCCATCTTCTCATGACACCCATTCCATCAGTCTCGTTACATGTACTGGTCTGTACAGGTTCGTCATATACTTCTGGACGTAATTTCGTACGTACATATATTGCCTGCCTCCTGTAATTCAGTGCCTCACATTCGCATAAGATGTGTAGAGCTGTTTCTATCCCTTCGTTGCATAATGTGCCGCTGAGGTCTCCGTTATGGAGCCCCATTTTATTCAGGTGTCCTCTAAGCGGACAATGACCGGTTAGTAACCCTGTAATTATTCTGAGCCGGTCCCTAATATATTGAAGTAGTTCTTCGGTTCATTTCTCGGACGGTTCCCTAATGAAGGTTCTACTGTGTTTGTTGTCAGGTACTTTTGTCCAGTACTCTCTTCCACTTTTCATGGCATATGATTTTGGCCGTGAAGTTTGTGTTAAAGGTGTACTTTGGTGTCATGTGGTCTGTGCACATATTCAATATGTGCTCCACCACTTGTTCCGAAATTTCTGTTCGGTCCGATCTTTTGTAGTTCGGTGAGTTTTCCAGTCTGAATTGGCCCATCCTGGCCTCCCCCAGTGTAAAGGAGGTAAATTCAGGAGTGTCTCCAATGCAGCTGTTGGGGTAGTTCTCATTGCTCCCGTCATTCCTAAACATGCAAGTCTTTGCATCTTGCCTAGTTTGTTAATGGCGGTCGCCTGCTTCATCTTTGGCCACCAGACCATGGCCATCTTTGGCCATGGGTTTAACCACCATCGTGTATAGCCAATATACCATGTCTGGTTTTATCCCCCATGTTTTCCACAGGTGCGTCTGGCGAGCATCAATGCTACCTCCACTTTTCTCTTTATCCTATCCAAGTGTTGGTTCCAGGTCAGTTTGGAATCTAGGATTACTCCCAGATATTCAACCTTCCCCGACACTTGTATTCCTTGACCTCGAAGTTTTAGAGGTCCGAGACCCTCCGTTTTAGTCCTCTTGGTGAATGCTACTATGGTCGATTTGGATGGGCTTATGTTAAGCCCTGCTTCTTCGGTCCATCTTGTTATAATATTCAGGGCATCCCTTCACTACATTATTGTATTTAACCTGGAGTAAGGTGACTAAGTCGTCTGCATAGCCCAGTGCATACCCATTGTGGTCCAAGATACATAATAGCTCGTCCATTACAAGATTCCAAATTGGAAGACTTACTTTGTGAAAGAGAATCATTCGAGTTGACACCTCGTACACTTCAATACAGGTTTGAACATGACCACAACTGACCTATGTATACATGTCATGAAAAATTATTCAAAATATGCTTTTCCAGCTTCCAGGAACCGTCTCGTCACTCGTGGCTAACAATTTATAGTATATCTGATTTTTTTTATGTCGATATAGGGTAACTCTCCCAAAGAACAACTACCAAATAAAAAACCTAGTATTCAGTCAAAACCAGATTAAGTGGTAGATCAGTACTTGCTAGAAATCGCACGTTGAAAAGTAAGACCTCATTTTTTGTAATATCACATTTTTTTTTTAATTTTCATTAATCCTTGGCTCAGACAATCTTTGACTTTATAGGGTTGTCGTGCGTAGGGATGCTACAGCTGGTTAACAGAAAAACATTTCAACACTACGACGTATTGAGGACAATATATCATTATTCAACTCACCTGGAAGTCAGCGGCTGCCCACCGGCAGACATTCTCCTACTGCTCATTCCGAACGAGTGTACTTTTTCAGCCAGACTCTCCAAAGTGTTCGGGTAGTTCCTCTCGTAGGGTTGGAAGTGCTGCATGCTCGACTTGGGCTGCTCCGTGATGACAGGGGGCGGCGGCTGGTAGCCCCAGTTGCTGTCGGGCGGGCGGCTGTTATAGTACAGATCGAGGCCGTTGCTGTCGGCCTGCTGCTGCGATCCGGAGGAGTGGCGAGAATCTAAACTGGAGAGGCCCAGTCCGAGCCGGGAACGGGACTCGGACATTTCTCTACCGTCGCCGGTGTGTCTTTGCCTCATAGGTTCTCTGAAAAGAGGAATTTTCGTCGGTTATCAAATAGTTATGAGGGTACTACAGCGTGGACGTAAGAAGTTTCCTCCATTTCGAATTTTGAACGGGACTAAATATCAAGGTCAGACAAAGTCTATATGAGAAGCATAAGTAGACTCGGCCCCGATTGAGCCAGACACACAGCCGGAGCGAGACAGACAGCCAGACATCCAATCGTGGTGTACCAGTGACGAACAGTGACGTCACCAGCCAGGCATACAACTAAATTGTCACGCGAGACAGGGTCAAATTGGTCTATATCAGGTTTTTGAATAGATCAGGTTTTTGGATAGGTTGAACGGATACTTGATCTGCTTCTATCGGGTCTGCTGAACTGGTTTTATCAGGTTTGAACTGGTTTACAACAGGTCTGAACTGGTGATAATCTGATAATGTGCTTGAATTCTATATATACCTAGGCTGAGAAAGCTATTATTTACTGAGCATATTATTCACTGAGGCGCGTTGCGCCGAGGGATATAATGTGCGAGGTAAGCTATTATTTACTGAGCCATAGTTTGATAAATGAATTAGTGATTAGGCTACATTGTTGTTTCGAAATAAATGGTGAACATTTTGAACATTTGATGGCTGGGCATTTTTCTAGGATATCAGATAATGAATACTCAGACCCACAGGGCAGAATAAGTAAGGAACGACCGCGTGGAAGATGGATTTGTGATGTGGAAGACTCAAAGATGCTGACGGTCAACAGACAGAGGTAATTTGCTAGGAATCGACGGAAATGGCAACGTATCTGCGACCAGACCAAGATCCACAAAGGATTGTTGCGCCAAATATAATGATTGGGATGAAATGGACAAGGAACTCTGTAATACGATTAAATCTAGTTTTTTAATTCGTACTTTTTCACATCCTCTTCATTCCTACAATCCATTATACTTGGTTTTGTATAGATATAGTGGAATATAAAATAATCTTAAAATATTAATGGTATTTTCAGCTGTCTCATTCCAAAGATATTCGAGTTCCCACATTGACACTCACCTGTGATCACCTCCAAGGTCTCCTTCATCGGTCTCGTCCTCCCTCAGATCCCTCTTGATGACAACCACGGGAGGGGGTTTGTGTTCTGATCGGGGCTGCACGCTAGGGGAGCCCTGTCCGCCCTTGCTGCCCTTCCTCTGCCTCGTCGCCAGCACCAGTCTTCTGGGGATCGACATTATGATGACGACGTCGTCAAGGCTCATTCGCGTCACGTCCACCAGGTTAACTGCTAGGATTTCGTCGCCAACCTGGAAAAAATACGAGGTGTTTTATTCGATAGAGGTGCAGTGGAAGAACTGGTGATTCAACTGCTAGATATCAAAGACTAATTAGACTGTTGCAGTGAACGAAAATAAGCAATTTTATATCAAATCTTAAGGTGGCTTTTGATGCAAGATATTTGGAATATAGTTAGATTGCAGTGGGGTTTACATTTAGTATACGAACCGACTCTGGTGATATGTTTCCGAAGAGAATCTTTAATATTGAAGAGTCATTGTGCAATCATCAGAAGACTTCTAAATTCTCAATTCAGTTAGATGAGTTCACTTTACCAACCAATGAAGCATTGTTGTTGTCATACGTGAGGTTTATTAAAAATAAGAAAATATATCAAGAATTACGATTTGCCAGAAATTTAGAGAAGGATACAAAAGGAGAAATCATATATAATACACTGGAAAAATTTTGTGATGAGAAAGAAATTCCACTGAGGAATATTATATCAGCTGCTACGAATGGCGCTCCGGCTATGACAGGATGTTACAAAGGCTTCATAGCGTACTTAAAAAATAAAATTCTAGATGTGCTCGCTCCATATTGCGTCATTCATAGGCAACATTTGGTTGCGAAAAATTTGAGTGAGCGCCTCTCTCAATCACTGCAATATATCATCAAATCAGTCAATGAAATCCTAAACAGCAATTCAAATGACAGATTATTCAATCAGCTTTGTTGCTAATGATGTAGATTTCAACCGATTGGTATTTCACACAGAGGTGCCTTGGTTATCAAGGGGTAACTGTCTGACTCGATTTTACAATCTATTTGACTGTGTAAATAGCAGGGGAGCCCACGCTGCAAAATGGGGATTTACTCGAGCGTCATTAAGACATATTAGGTTGCAAAGCTTAGATGATAAGAAGAAAAAATTTTTATAATATATACCTTTTCATCGGTGGGGGAAGTGGCTATAGATTTTTGAATGTGTAAAAAAATACTGTTGCATAGACATACTCGAGCGCGTCAGATATTGATAGCATCAATGTCCTACGTATTTTTAATAATGTTGGTATGTTAATCTGATCTTTTGCATGATGTGGGTGGTTGTACGTAAGGGTTAAGTGAGTAAGTTAAGTAAAGTGGTAAGTAAAGTGGTTGTAAGTAAAGTTAGGTGAAAAAAAAATTATCGAGCGCGTCAGATTTTCTAAGGGGATGTTAAGTGCAACAAAAAAAGCTCTCATTCAATAATCTAACGATTTCGATCTGACGCTAACTCGCTGCCATTATTATAATGTGCAAAAAAAAATTCGCCATTTTGAAATACTCAAGCGCGTTAGATTAAGATATATAAGGCTCATCTTTATGTTTCAGACGTGCTGTCTCATAATCTGACGATTATCTAGAGGTATTCGATTAATCTGACAAAACCAATATTTTTTTTATTTTTTTTTTATTCATTGAACTCATCAATTAATTGAAAAGCTCAGGAAATATGCAAATAAATAGGTGTATGTTTTTAAGTACAATACTTGTATTTATAAAAAATGCTCAAAAAAATATCTTGTATAAGTTTGAAAATATCCTTATCGGCGAAACTACAGTAACGTTAGTTACAAGTAAAAGTGGTAAAAAACAGAAAGTTGAATTTATCTTTTCTTCATTATGATTTCCTACCACGTAGTAACGGCTACATCCATCAATTAATTTATTAATTAATCATCATCTTCATCACGAACGAGTCTCTGTGATCAGTTGTGATGGCGTCACAGAATTCATAGTGGGGACGGAGAGAGAGAGTAATAGCACAGTATTTTGTATTCAGTAATTTCTCAAAGGTTGATTTGTGGTTTGAATTTTCCTACGCGCAGATCCACGCGTCGATGTCTTAGGTCTGCGCAAACGACGAGTTTAAGACAGGCATGCAAACCTTCCATAGTTGTCGAATTTCATGGGTTTCACCCAACCTACTGAAACTATTTTCAGTGAACATTTTCCAAACTTATCCATAGAAACTGGTGTTGGAACATACTTCATCATTGTCCAAATGTTCTGGGTTACTTCAATATTACACAAATGCAAAATTATCATTTGTACAATTTTCTCAGGTGCCCAACATGGTTTTCATAGACTGTTTTTTTTTGAGCAGTTTATATGAATAGTTGTTATGTTGAGCAGTGTATACACGCTTTGGTTGAGATTGTAGTAGGGAGAAATGTCATTAGTGTCAAATACGTCATCATTATAAAAAATGAAACTCCTGGACACCGACATCAAAGGGACCGACGCTGAGTGAAACTACTGTATACAGAAATACTGTGGTAATAGATAGAGGAAAAGTAACTAGAGAATAAAAAAAATTAGCTACGCTCGAGAATGTCGAAATGACGTTATTTTGGTGGAGGTACTTAACCGGGTACAAGGTATCTCCCTGTATATTAATCTGCCGCGCTTTAGTGAATCCCAAAATCTCCGCTTGGGTTCCCCTATTAATAACAGAGTTCTTGTAAAACAAACACAAAGAATTGTACAAGAACCTCATCACTTCAAAGAATGATATTGCGTACTTGACAGGCCTGTATAAATTATATCTCAACTCCAATCAATCTCCAACTCCAAGGTGACGACTTGAATTTGATTAAAATAAAAAAATGTCATTGCTGCTTTTGTAGCCAAAGTGCTCTCATACAAGAATAATATCGGCGTGGGTTTCGCAATTTTCCTAATTTGTCAGCAGTATCCTTCAACAACGACGACTTGCTTGTTCACTGCCAACATTTCGAGAACCTCCACATTGATTTTGCAGAACGATTCCAGGACATTTTAAAATTGGGAATACCGGACTGGGTGTTGGATCCTTTTTCAAATGTCAACACAGCAGAATCACCCCAGCTGGAAGAAGAACTCATAGAACTGATAACGAACGAGGAAATGAAAATGAAATTCCTATCATCGTATTTGTGCGACCGTCGATTTAGTGCTGTGGCAACGCTGCTAACTATAAAGAGAAATCGGTTGCAGATTACCGAACGCGGTGATTTACGGCTGTTTTTGAATAAATTCGAGCCTGATATTAACAAACTTGTTGAAAATCATCAAATCCATCTTTCACATTAGATTAGTTTCAAAATTCAAATTGAAATGTTTGTTTTAATAACATGAATAAAAGTTTTCCTAATATTACAAAATGGTGTTTACATTACCCTCATCAGAAAGTCTTATTTTTGTTGTAATATGATTTCTTATTATTATCATTATTATTTCCTTGTTTCATTATTGAGAATCTAGTTCATGAATTATTTATGTTCATCTTGCAATTACTTGGTTGAATTTAGAAATGTATGTTTTGCTGACAATACTTTATGAAGTTCGTTGTCGTTATCACCTCATTTTAACTTGTTTGATTTCTATTGGCTAGAATATGGAAGGTAAAACAGTAACTAGCGTCTATGATCACGTGACAAGGAACTTCATAAAAAACGAGCGTTCTTTTGTTTGAGGAACACTTACACTTGCATTAGCATTTTGAACAGACGACATGTAAATTGTTTATCAAAACCTGTACTCTATTTTATCTATTCCGGCGACTTGTTGTGTTTTTGTGGTGAATAGAAACGTTTTTCTGCATTGAAGTTTTTCATTCCAATCATCTCCAACATTTTCACATGACAAACATAATTTAATTATTAAAATAATGACTGCGATTGTGATTCTTAAGATGTACTAAATTAAAAAAAAATGGAGGGCGCTAGAAAATAATAATTCTCGAAGCGGGCGGTAGACAAGAACCTCTGGTATACACCATGACAACGTAGAATGAATATTTATTGAGCTACACAAACGCGTAAAACACAAAACTTTCGAAACAATAATCCAATATTGTACGCCGTTCTAGTTTAGACAGAACAAAGACCGATATAATATCAAAACTTATTGAAATAATAAATCTCACAAAGGAGCACTGCATTGTTAGCGATGATCCGGCTTCCAGTAAAACGAATTACGTGTAATAGCTGTTAATCTGCAAAGTTGTCCGGAGTTCAAAGAGCGTCAATTTTCCTCTTAGCAGCTTCAGTCTTATAAGATTTCCTGCGAATATACTATTAAGCTTGACAAAACTAACTTCTTTTTATCAAGTGTATCCAATTAGTTTCAGGAAATTGATTTCGAATTTGGTATTGCATAGATCTAGCAAAGTCGTTTACGATGTTACGTTCTATTTTGAAACGGTAAGTGTTGGAAAACTGAAATTTGGAGAATACGTATGCATATACACTGTTCATTTCCTTCATATCATTCACGAAATGATAATGCAACTGCTCATACTAATCAATGACAACTGATGAGTCGCATCAACCACGGACTTGACCGACGCCCACGCTTCTTTGAACTATCAACCGATGTGAACGACACAGAATCGTGACAGATCTTCAGCATAGATCATTGATCATTCGTGAAACTGGTCTAGGCGATGAAAATCTTCATTGTATCTCGTATTTTAATAATAGCAATTTGAAATTCAAACTTGAAACAACAAATAATATTGAATAAATATAAATGTAATGCCTGGTTCCACGTAGCCTCGCTGGATACGGAGATGACAGAATCACTCGTGGTTCTGTTATTCCCTAACTGAAAGGCATCCCAACGATGGCTTAATCCTAAGGTTTGTGTATCCGTGACGAGAGGATGAATGACACTGAGCCTATCAGCTGTCTCTACGAACCTTCGAGATACCGGGCGACGTGATTGACCTTCTTTCCCTAGCAACTTGTGGGACTTTTATGGACAGAGTAAACTTGAAAATTCTTTCTGACGCTGAGTCTATAGAGGAGATGGATATCGAGCTCACGACTCCAACTGACCTCCCTGTAAATTTAGATCAGGAGCGAGGGAACTCTCCAACTCCTGATCCAATAACTAAACCTAAAAAAAAAGGTTTGGTGGTGCAGCCAGGCAACTACTGAGTCCTCAAGAGCGGGGTACCTTATGAAACTAATAAATAAATAAAATATTTATTAATCCTTTCAACTATTGTTAACAATAGATAGGATAAGTCAAAAACAGTGTCATTAAGTTTTAATTGACAAACAGGACGAAACAAGCACAATGATGACTATGTAAAATACACTTCGATATCATCTCAAAATTGAAAAGTATAATTCAAATTCCTCAACAGTATAGAAACATTCTCTGATAAGGAGTTCCCTAAGTCTATACTTAAAAACGGCCAGGGATCCCGCGTATTTTATTTCTTTCGGAAGACGGTTAAAAAAACGGCAGCCGGCATTGATGGAAGATTTTTTGTAATAGGAGTGTTTGGGCTTGTTCAATTTGATATCATTTTTATTTGATTTGGACCTTGCACCAAGAATTTCACTAGTTCGAACTTCCATTGTCTACTATATAAAATGATTTGAAATCCCTGAAACAACTAAAAAAGAAGAATTTAAAATGAATAGCTGAAAATAACAATTATATTAAGCAAAATAAACCTGAAATGAAATAATAGTGAAATAAAATACAAGTAAAAATAGAACAATTGAATAAATAAAAAATAAATAAATGAAAAAAGAAAATAAAAATAATAAGTGGAGAGATTCCAAGTCACGTTAGTTCACAACGTTTCGATTGTTAGTATCTACAATCGTCTTCGGGTGATGACTGGACTGATTCCTCCAAGAGATGACTATTTATAGGTCGTTCGAGTACTTTCACTTATCCCCGCTTTCCATTTTCCGCTTCACTGGTTCCGTGAGATGACCGTTTGGCGGGAGTTGGCCATTTTTCGCTGAATGATGGGTTTCCATATGTTGTGTATTTCTGCTGTCTTTCAGCCAAAGTCTTTTCTACCATCGCTTTGGAGTAGCCATTTCGTTGAATTTCATTTTTGATGATGTCTAGTTCCTTCTCGAGACCTTCCTTCGTATTACAGAGCCCAGAAGCACGGTCTAATAGAGTCTTGATGTTTCCTCTTTTAGTCGATTGATGGTGGTTGGATTCGTGGTTCAGATACTGTCCCGTATGAGTGGGTTTCGGTATACAGATGTTTCCCACGTAGTGTTGGTCCTCTTCACCAAAACGTCTAAAAATGGCAATTCGTTGTGGATTTCCTTCTCCACTGTAAAAGTGATGATAGGTCTCACGCTGTTGATGTGTTTCAGGAAGGCGTTTAGTTCAGTATTCCCATGGTTCCATATTATGAAGGTGTCGTCAACTTATCTCAACCAGCCTCGAGGTTTCTTGTAGGCTTTTTCAATGTCCAGAATTTTAAATCACTGGTGAAAGTGGCGATCCCATTGGCAGTCCCTCATCTTGTGTAAAGAATTCGTCCTTCAGTTGGAAATGACAGTTCCGTACAGTGGTTTGAAACTCTGGCCATTGAAGAAGCCCACAAGAAACCTCGGTTCTGGTTGAGATGCGATGACGACACCTTCATAATATGGAATCATGAAAATACTGAACTAGACGCCTTCCTGAAACACATCAACAGCGTGGTCCTTCCATCCAAGCCCTAACCCGGCCCATCAAGGATCACTGACCACTGTCTCAAAATAGTCATTAACTGCCGACATCACCTCTTTATCGTTGAAGTTTGGGAACAGAAAATAATCCGAGGGGGCTAAATCTGGCGAATAGGGTGCATGAAGTAGTGACTCAAACTTTCATTTCATCAATTTTGGTCATTGCGATAATGGATTTGTGAGCTGGTGCATTATCTTAATGAAACAACACTATTTTCTTAGCCTAATGCGACCGTTTGTGCTTGATTTCTTTACTCAAACGTACAGTGGTATTTTTCAAATAACTACCACTATCTCTAGGTCAGGCCGGGTAGGTACTTCTAGAACCACCGTCGTACATGTAATGTTTCTGAATACACAGAACGGTTTGTTCGCATTCTCTTTGGCATTTTTCTCCTTCGATATCTCAAAACTGGGGCATTTTCGAACAGTGGACTATCGAATTTGACTATTGAAAACTACAATACGTCTAAATTTCAGAAAACTCTTTCGTATTTGTCATGTACAGTAAAGAATAAATTACATTCAGTTGGCAACACCTTACTAAGAATGGTTGGCAGTTAAATAATAAAGTGGATTGACAGGGGGACTGTCTGTCAGAAAAATGTGGGTGATGTATGAATCAGTTAGTGTTCTGTGACAACAAAATATAGTTTTCGGTGTGTCAGTTTCTATTCCGTTGCTCGTACATGGTCTTAATAGAGAAAACATTAAATATATCTTGTTTGAATACATACAAATACAAGAGTGATCTTCTACTTCAACTGGAACAATCTCCAAAGAACTCTTACCTTCAAACACCCGCTGTTGTATACCGCTGATTCCAGCGCTATCCTGGATATGAAGACGCCGTCGTTTCTATCGATCCCGTTTCCTTCTCTTATGTACAAGCCCAAAGTCTGGCCAGGCCTCTTCACTATCTCAACGAATTGGACCGTTTGCTTAGCATCTTGCATGGACGTGAACCTTTTCGCTGCTTCACTGGCAGTCCTGCCAAGATGCCGAGCCTCCAGGATCCTCACAATCATCTCCCCGCGTTTTTCCACGTGCTGAAATCATAAGATTGAAAGTAAGGGAAAAGAACCTGGGTGAGGATCAGGAAACATGCTTGAAACCATTAACTATTACTATTATCGTAAAGACCCGACAAAATAGTGAGATTCTTTGAACAACTGATACCACTTTGGCGAACTCGCTTCATCTTAACATCTGGTCAAGCAAGAGTCCAAACAGGGTGGGTCACTTTCAGAAGAGGGGTATTTCAAGGTGATTCCCTCAGTCCCCTTCTCTTCTGCATCTCACCATTGCTATTATTCGTTGCGCTCAGAAACACTCGAGGGTATAACTGTGGCACCTCCGGAAACCGGAGGCACAAGGTCACCCATTTGTTTTATATGGATGATCCTTGAGGGTGGCGGAAGCATGTTATCGGTATGAAATTTGGGATAGACAAATGTGCAATGGTCCATCTCAAAAGAGGACTAAGCGGGGACTACGGAGAGGATGTGCAGCTCGTAGATGGGAGTATCCTTCACCGTCTGGATGCCGGAGAGACGTATACTTACCTCGGGGTGGAACAACGCCACTCACACGAGGTAACTGCAGTGAAGAACTCTCTCCGCGGCAAGTATCAGCACAAACTTCGACAGATCTGGTCATCGGAACTGTCGGCGAAGAACAAAGTTGCTGCAACAAATATGCTTGACGTTCCGATCTTACTTTACTCGTTTGGAGTAGTGAAGTGGACTCGAGAGGAGCTCGATGTAAAGACCCGAAAAATAATGCATCTCTATAGGAGTTTGCATTTCAGATCGTCTGTTCCACGGTTGTTCTTCCCCCGACAACAGGGGGGGCCGTGGAATTTTGAGTTTGGAGTGTCCACATGACAGAATGGTACTGGATATAGCCTGTAAAGTCGTCAGGAGTTCGGGTTCCCTTTTCTGCATGGTTCGTGATCATGAGAGAGCAGGAATTGGAGCATTTCTCTTTAGAGCAGCTGATGAACTCAGTTTAGTTTTCGACACTGAACGAGGTGACCACAACTCTGTCACCGAGTTGAAACCCGTTCAGCAAAAAGCTCATATAAAAGCCGCAGAGATCACCTCACTTCTGCGGAAACACAAGGATAAGCCAATGCATGAGGTCTTCTTCAACAACATTGAAGACCTTCGGCGTATCACAGTGCCTGACTTTCGCTTTCCTCAGGTCGAGTGGGCTGAAGTCGAAAACTGAGGAGTTCCTCATGGCTTGCCAAGATGGTGTCTTCAACACCTTAGTCTACCGCAGTCGCGTGATGGGTATAGAGGTTCTTGACACAAGGTGCAGGGCCTGCCGTAAGGCGCCCGAGACCCTAATGCACTTGCTATCAGCATGTCCAACATATGCAGTCTCGGCTTATATCCATCGACATAACAGGGCCCTAAAAGTGCTATATTACCATCTACGGCACTCTTGCGGTATTGACGAGACACCGCACGCCGCACGCTCCGGGGGATATTGAAACCGTTGTGGAACTATTCGTTCCCCACCCGCAGGCTCATTCCAGGTGATGGGGCTGATGTAGTTCCTCTTGACCATCAGAGCAAGACGATATTTGTCGTGGAGTTTTCAGCTCCTGGCGAGACGAATATCGCCAGAAAAGAGGAGGAAAACGGATAAAATATCGAGATTTTCTCTTCGAACTCCGCAGACTCTATCCAGATCACTCTGTCAAGATGGTTGTTCTGATTATTGGAGTCCTTGGTGGAATGATCTCCTCTCTACTCTCGAATCTTAAAATCATACCGGCTTGCCGCACTAAGGCAGAAATCTTAGCCGGACAGATGCAGATGGCTGTCATTCTTGGTTCACTGCGCTTGCCCAGGGCACACGATTCTCGGACCCAATGATCACTTACCCCACGGTGGTGAGAGTGGTCGTTGGCTGATAATGCTGGCGCGCCCTTCCGAATGTATCGGGGCTTCGGGCCTGACCAGCGCATACTATGGTTAAAAAATAATAATTAAAATGGACACCAATATGTCTTGGCACAATCGTGTCGCTGAAATTGCAAAGGCTGCTTCTCAAAAGCTTGGAACACTGTTCCGAACCAGAAAACTGTACACACATCAGCAACTTTTGATGCTGTATAAAGCTCAGATCAGACCTTTTTTGGAGTATTGTTCTCATACATGGAGCTCCGCCCCTAAGAATACCCTGAAGCTGCTGGATTCCATCCGGGAAAGAGCCAACCGTCTGATTGGAGACGCGAACGTCACCTGCAACTTTGACAGCCTGGAACATCAAAGACAGGTTGGAGATTCATCTATCTTTCATAGATTCTTTCACGGGAGGTTTTTCCGAATGAATTCAATCTTCAGCGATTCAAATCCATCGTGAATCGCTACTTTCGTATGGGCACAGTGACATTTTCAGAGCTGTTTTTTTTCAAAGTGAAATAAATTCCATTCTCTTTTTTCTGGATTGAAAAGTTCCAGAAATATTAATCAAAATGACTGACTGATACTACTGAATCTCACTGTATATCGATCTTTCTCCACAGTATTGTGCGTGCAACTAACAATCGTGAAATTTACATTTGAAACTGATAATTAGACAAAACTCTAGTAGCGATTACCTTTTACCACATGAACAAATGAGAAAACAAGAAACGGGAATTGAACATGATATATCTCCCCCAGTTAATATATCAAACTTGAGCTGTTGCAAATTTTCAGAGAAAACTTGGAAAAGTCAAAGCTTGAACAAATTCTTCTGAGGCAAAATTTGAATATATTTCACAATCCTTACTGTCTTTATGGGTATGCATAGTCGGAACGAAGATGATATTCTGCCTAAAGACATAATCAGAGCCAACAAAAGTGATATCAAGAATAACAAAAAGAATTGTACTTTAGTATATCACTCCATCAACTTGGACCACAAAATTGCATATGACAGTGCCAAAATGTAGATTTCTCTAATAGCTTACATAAATAATATACCTAGAAATATCTAACATCTTTGAATATCCACTCAGTATGAATTCTAGAAGGGACGTTGAAGGTCTCAACATGAACTATATTTACTTAACTAGTTGCTTACAGTAATAAATATATGTTTTATTTCCTTACTTTTTCAATATTAATAATGTAGTATGTCGATATAGTACATTTTTTTTGAATAATCAATTTTATTCATTCTGGTCATGTCATGACAACTGACAACGTATCAATGACATCCTGTTAATTGAATTTTTTTCACAAAATTTTTCTTAACTCTCTTGGTACAGGCAGTCACTCTGAGAGACGCTTCCATCTATTTTGAGTTCCATGTTTCATGACAGTTGACTTGGACATGTCCTCCAAAAAGTCTACAAAATGGGTTTTGAAAATTTCAAACAATTGTGCTAATCTTTTTTTGTCGTCTCTTCGTTTCAACTTTATACGGTCTTTCCCATGTGTTTGAATTTCACGAGTGTTCTTATATCCTTCTAATTAATTAATGTATCAAGGAAAACATTGATTTTCTTGCTGTCTTCATATTCATAACCTCACCTTTGGTAAGTACCGGCTTCACTTATTTTGCAATTGTCATTTTATCATATCTAATTGTACGATAAAGTTCCTGAAGACACTAAAAATTCCTTCCAATTGGCCGAAATAAAAATTATTATTCTCGTAGGCGGGCCGTTTTACGGAGGGTAAATAGGAATAATTATTCACGAGAAGTATGTCAAAAATGAAACTCAATGAGAATTGTTTTCAAAATTGGATTCAGCATCTCCAAAAACTCTTATGTACGAAAAAATATGGATGATATCCGCCTTTCTCAGGTACTTAAATCTATCCCAGAACTGAAGTGAAAGTCGCTATAAACTGTTATGGAGATGATATGAATTTTTATCATTTACACTCAAAACCGGACGTATTTTTGGGTTCGTAATTTGTTTTCAATAACTCATTTTGTATATACATTCGAAAACCATAGCATAATAATGAGGTTAATGACCTTAATTTGTGTCATAATTCAAATCCTCTCGTAATAAGAGGTGAATTACTCTTTCGTATCACAACTTCAACACAGTTCCAACTTTTATTTCTCCAGCTTTTTCTCTGTATATCGCTGCATCACTAATTAAAACCATCCTTGGTCCCTCGCTTTTATTTAACTATTTTCCGAGCACTCCTTCCCTTTGCCAAAACATTTCAACAGGCGCTTTTCGGAAACGATACAAAGTAACCTTGTTGTCCGAGTTAATTGAATCACTAACAGCGAGAGGAAAAGAAGCAAAAAATCTAAAAGAACCAAGTCCTTTCGAGCAGATTTATGTAAAACGTAAATGTTTTTTATTCTGTCTGAGGTTGATTAAATCCTATTTATCTTTTCTTTATTCCTCACAAAGTGCTCTTTGAAGTGCAATTAATTTGCTTGAATTAACCGGCTCTAAAACGGAATGGCTATAGAATGAGCGACATCTAGAAGTTATAATTTGAATGTCAAACTCAAGGAAAACATTGATTATTGTAAAAAAACATAGTAGCAAACATTTGAAGATACAGTTTCTCCATGTGTTTGCGATATTCATATACATGAATATGAAAGTGAACTTTTCATTCGCTAAAACACTTTTGTATACTAATTGGCAAGTAGCTCATTATAATGGAATATAATACTTCCTTCTCAGAAGCTCAGCTCGGAAGGAATGTTTAAAATAAATTCAAAATTGGTGAATTGATCATTTAATTCATCTGTTTCTGCCAGAGCTTCGTTCCAAATAAAAAGAAGAGAACAAATATTCAATCGGTTTCTTTGTTTTCCTTCAGTTTTGCGTTGACGCTAACGCCATCTTGTGGCAATAACTCTTCCGGTAGGTAGGTACTCTGGAAGAGATGGAAGTTTTTCGAGATTTTACTTTGAAATATGCATTTCTTTCAATGAACTCACCCATCTTTCGTATTGTGGAAAGTGGAAAACCCACAGAGTTCAAGTGATCATTCAATCTATGTCATTACAATTTCGTAAGGGCACTTCATTTCCAAAGAACCGCCATCATTTCAAAACTTCATTTTCTAATTGACAGTGGAGGCAGAAACTTGGAAAAAAAACTAATAGAAAACCGGCTCACGTTCACCGCGAACAGATATACAAACTTAAAAGCTGCCGTGGCCGTAAACCCTGATTAATTTCTCAAGTTGGCTCTGCTCTGCTCGCTCTTTCCGATACCAGTTTCGAGGCTGGAAATCAATTACGTTGGATTTTAGAGACCTCTCTAGTTTTTAAAGCACGGCTTTAAGATGCCAATCAGTCAAAACAACTTTGAAGCACACTTTAATTGAAAGTGATTTAAGGATGATTGCGTATATTTTCCATGAATTTGGAAAGAGGTATCAATATGATGAAACTAATTATTGAAAAAAATATGGAATGAAATTTCAGCGAGATGGTATTGAAGTATCAGATATATTAATGGCTGATATTCATATGATCAAAAAATGTTGATCTCAACCATATGAAGTTCTATCATAATGGATTGCCAGAACTATTAATTTATCTAATCAGATTTTGTTAATAGCTACTGTCATATCGAAGACACCTTCCCTTCTCCCACTCATGATAGCTCTAAGTTCAGTTAATTTTCCAAGTCTCAACTGTGCGACTGCTTTTGATTGTTAGGGAGTTCAGGGACCGTTCAGATAGCGAACCCGAATATGGCTCCTGAGAAATTAGTGGCTGGGTACATGTCTAAGAACGCACCCAATTGAACGAATTAACCTGAAAAATAGAGTAAACATGAAAAATAAACAAAAAATAAGGAATATGGTGCAACAATCTGAACACATAGAAGTGAAATTCAGTGATGATGACTTGCCTTATGAAGAAGAGATTCTTCGCAACCCGTATTCAGTCAAGCAGTGGTTGCGATATGTTGAACACAAAAAGGCAGCTCCCAAAGGAGTCAACATCGTATATGAAAGAGCCCTGAGGCAACTGCCAGGTTCTTACAAGGTGTGGTATAAATATCTACGAACTAGTTGTTCGACAGAGCTTTGAGAGCATTACCCGTAACACACACAACGGATTTGGACTTTGTACTTGAAATTTGTAAAGCAGTACGATATTCCTGAGACTGCTGTCCGGGTATTCAGAAGGTACTGGAAACTGTGTCCAGAAAATGCTGAAGAATAAGTGGACTACCTCACAGAAATAGGTCGGCTTGACGAAGCTGCCCAAGTATTGGCAAAAATTGTCAATGATGAAAATTTTGCTTCCCAGAAAGGAAAATCCAAGCATCAACTCTGAAACGAGCTCTGTGAACTCATATAAAAAATCCTGACAAAATTCGCTCCTTAAATGTTGATGCTATCATCAGAGGAGGCCTGAGACGCTATACTATCAACTGGGCCACCTCTGGAACTCCTTAGCAAACTACTATGTACGCAGTGGCCTGTTCGAAAGAGAAAGAGACATTTATGAGGAAGCTATTCAAACAGTCACTACCGTTCGTGATTTCACCCAAGTTTTTGATTCTAACGCACAGTTTGAGGAATTGAGTCTTAGCAAGAAAATGGAAGAGGTTGCTAATCAGGCTAATCCTACAGAAGATGATGATACAGATCTGGATCATGGAAATGAGATTGCTGTTGCTTAACTCCGTACTTCTGAGACAGAGCCCGCATAACGTCCAAGAATGGCATAAAAGGGTCCAATGTATGAAGATAAACCACTGGAAATAATCAACACTTACACAGAAGCAGTGCAAACTGTGGATCCAAGACTAGCTGTGGGTAAACTTTACACCTTATGGGTGGATTTCGCAAAATTCTATGAGAGAAACGGGCAGATTGATGATGCCAGGCTTATTTTCGAAAAGCTCACGCCATATGTGAAAGTAGATGATTTGGCGAATGTTTGGTGTGAATGAGGTGTGGAAGTTCGAAATGAAAACTATGATGAAGCTTTGCAACTTATGCATAAAGCAACAGTTATCCCTAGTCGAAAAGTGGCCTATCATGATGACTCAGAAACGGTGCAAAGTAGCGTCTATAAATCACTGGAAGTGTGGTCCATGTATGCTGATTTAGAAGAAATTTTCGGTACATCCAAATCTTGCAAAGCTATCTATGATCGCATAATAGATCTGAAAATCGCCACACCTCAGATCATTATCAACTACGGATTATTTTTGGAAGAAAATAACTACTTTGAGGAAGCGTTCAGGGCTTACGAAAAATGCATCTCTCTTTTCAAGTGGCCAAATGTTTACGACATTTGGAATACTTATCTCACCAAGTTCCTCAAACGATATGGACGAGCCTTGAACGAGCCAGAGATCTTTTCGAGCAGTGTTTAGAGGGGTGTCCTCCTCAGTTCGCGAAACATCTCTACCTTCTCTACGCCAAGCTGGAAGAAGAGCATGGAATGGCTAGACATGCGATGGCTGTTTACGAAAGGTCTACCAAAGCTGTGCCAGAAGGGGAAATGTTCAAAATAATCAATATATACATAAAGAGAGCGGCAGAAATCTATGGTTTCCCAAAAACTAGGCAAATTTTTGAAAAGGCGATTGAGGTGCTACCAGAAGATAAAACGGGGGATATGTGCATTAGGTTTGCTGATATGGGGACAAAATTAGGGGAAATAGACAGAGCGAGAGCTATCTATGCTCATTGCAGCCAAATTTGCGATCCGCGTATAACAAACGACTTCTGGCAGATTTGGAAGGAGTTCGAAGTACGACACGGCAACGTGTCCAGGCAATGTTCAACACCCTGGTTAACATGATGTCGGCGCAGATGCTGAGTACAGCTGCCAGTATGTCTAGGACTGTCGCAGATCTGGTACCTGGTGTCAAGGATGGAATGCGATTGCTGAAAGCCAAAGCAGTGGAAATGTCAGGAATAAACTTTGTCAGGGGAGAAACCCAGGGAGATAAAAAAGACAAAGTTGTCAATCCTGATGAGATTGATATCGATGATGAAGATGAAGAAGAGGATATACCTGTGGAAAAACAAAGTATTCCCTCCGAGGTATTTGGAAGTTTGCGGGTGCAGGTACCGGAAGAGAAAGATGACCAGTGAGACTAGTGATTAGTTTTAATGCTTTATAAAGATTAAGTTTACCTGTTTCATAAAAAAATAGTGATGAACGAATTTTCTTAATAAATAAGGGAGAATTGTAAATCTTATTTGTCTGTCATCCAGTCAGGAAATAGATCAATTCTCTCTTCCAAAATATGATTGAATGAATGTAATTCAGTTTGCATAGTTTCCATAAATTAAACCAGTGACAGCAAATCGATCACACCGCAAGCACCTAAAAATAAAGCTAGCTCAAAAACTATACTTTTTCCAGTAAAAATGTCCGCATTATGTCATAAATAATGCATCCAAGACGTTCCACAAAGCCATCGAGCAGGTGGAGTTTCTGTCTCATCGGTGACTTGTCTTCCGAGGTATTTTCTCCCAAGTCTCGGTGGATTTCTCGTTGCATGCGCCGGTGCATTGGAGATTCGTGTCTCAGAGAATATTTTCATAGAAATACTCCAACCTGAAAGCTGTCCTAATCGTAAAGTGGGGTCCTGCTGTCAGGATTACGTTGTTGAATTTCTGACACTGTTCCGTGCTTCCATCAGAGTGATGAGAATACGATGGATGAGAATTTATTACGGAAAATATATCTAGATACCTACATATTTTTATAAAAATCCATCTCGAAGATAAAATACTAAGACGATGAACGTTTCTTGAAATTAAATTGTTTCGATATCCATCAAGAATTACGGAAAACAAACTGATTATTCTCTGACGTAAAAACTTCCCCGAGCGTGAGTAATGAAACGCAAACAATAACCAACAACTCGCAACCGTCTGTTTTTATTGGTTATTCTCGGAAACATTCTTCCGGGCAAGTGCACATTCTGCAATTTTCACGGTCGCTCGACTTTCCCTCTTTTCACGACACTCAAAGAAATAACGCGATTCAAAGCCTTGTTGTCAAGTTCGCTTCATTATTTATTTCAACGTTGACTACAACTGATGAGTTTTTGAAGAGTATTTCTTCATCGCGAAGTTTCGTACTCCTGGTCGAATTCGAATTACTCTCAAATGAGGTTACCCTTACGAAAGTCAAAGAAAATCAACTCACCTCTAATGCGGCTGCAGTTGACGCATCATGGTCGTTTTCTACTGTTTCTATCTGTTTGAAAATTTCGCTGCTGATTCCCGATACCTGCAAAAAAAAACAATCAGAATGCATGTGTTTCGGCATGATAACTCTCTGCAAATTATTAGTCTCTATAACAAGTTACCTTCACCATCCATGGTCTATGTCCATGCTCATGTTCATGTCTAGGTCTATTCATATGTTCATGTTCATGTCTAAATCTATTCATATGTCCGTGTCTAAGACTGAGACTATCTAAGACCAAGTCTAAGTTTGAGAGTCTGAGTCTGCATCTGAGAGTCTGAGAGAGTCTGAGTCTGCGTCTAAGAGTCTGAGAAAGAGTATGTATATTCCTGTGCCTATGCCTATAGCTATGGCTACGGCTATGTCTATGCCTATGTCAGAATTAGTGTCAATGTCTATTTCCATGTTCATGTCTATGGTATATGTCCATACCCATGGTCTATGTCTATGTCCAAGCCCATGTTCATGTCTAAGTCTATTTATATGTCTATGTCGAGTAGATTGTAAAAAATAATTCTATCCAATTTCAGCAAAGAATTTTTCAACACATTGCCGTTGCGACCAGTGTTTGTCTTGGATCTCTAGATGGCGTTACTATAAAAAGAGATATCCAAGCTTACTAATATAATTTAGTCTTCGGATTTCGATGCTTGTAATAAAAAATGAACGCCATTGCATTGAAAGTACATTCCATAGAACCACATCTATTTTCTCACAGTATTTCGACCATGTTTATTTATTCTTAACATCTACCTACCAGTGGTTCATTCAACTGCCACGAATATCGATAAATGAGCTTTACTTTACAACGGTAGGTTCGCTTATATTACAGCATCGTTCTTTAGTTGCCAATATATGGAAAGTAATAAACGAAAAACCCTCCTGAAATACTGGGAAAATAAAATGTTGCATCAGTATTGATTCTATTTCAAAGATTAGTCAATTATAACTTGACAGGTTGTCGTGAGTTTTTTCATGTAAACACATGTGTTAATCGTCATAACTTTCGGTAGTGGTCTGAGGAAAACCCAGTTTGTGAATACGCATGATAACAAAATATAGAGAAGCTTTTTCCGTGGATTATAATGTATGCTGGGATTTTTCTCTTGAAGGTAAACTTTCAATTGTTGGAAAACATGACTTTCCATACGAGATATCACTTGACTCCTAATCCCATTCAAGCTTAAAGGGTTGACGAGATGAACGTGACGATCAAAAATATGTTTCTTTTTTTTGTGGGGTTCTTTCCATCGTTGCACGCTCTGTTATTTTATCATTTGAAAAATTATCACCTGACAGCGTCCTTACAATTCAGGTTTGCGTGGTTATAGTCATTATCACGCCGAATTTACGAAACAATATTACAAAACTTCCTCCGCAACAAATAGAAACAATCAAAGTTATGATAGAAACGAAGTCAACAAACTAAAACTACATTCAGACTTGGTCTCATAAGTTCAGACATAACTCACTCGTTAACGATTTAACTTGTATCGCACGAAATTAGAAAACACACTGCCATCTGGCCGCTCCGACTAACTCGTTAATTAACGATTTGCAACGTTATACCACCGGTTAACCGCAACAAATACACTCATTCCATAATTAAATTCCACTAATGGAAGTTAGAGAACGAGATTTGGTGTCCCTTGCAAAAACAGGAACATCCCGTGGCGAGCACCGAAGAAAATGGTCATGATTTTTTGTCGAGTGTTCCTGAGATTTATCTGTTTCTTGGCCACTGAGCCTTTGAGATCACTGAATTCACAAAATAACAATTAAGTGCCTCAGTGGCTAAATGTCTCAATTGAGTGCCATTTCTGGAACCAAGAATGATAGTACCGCAAATAATGGAGGTAAAAGATCATCCAATGTGGATAACTTTAAAGTTCATATCCCAGGAAAAAGTATCCTCGCTGAGGAAGATTGCACATACTATCGACGTGGAGTATGCAAAGATCATTTTAAAAATGAGACGATGAGAGCCCAGAGAAAAGAAGCATCCATACTGTTGACGTTGGGTTGGAACGCTCTCAAAATATGTCTAAATACAAACAGTCCTGGCGATCGAAACTGTTGAAGAAGAGCGTGTTTGCTGTTTCAATCTTTTATATAAAGGAATTGAACTCGGCATAAAGGAAAACCAACTTCTTAAAACCAGAAGAACGATTCTCTAAGGTTCTGATTTTTTTGTTTGTGTAGTCTGAGACTTCGAAACACCATGAAATGACACAGGATTCTCACACAACTGTGTTATAAATAAAGAGTAATACCAGACTAAGGGAAAGCAGAGGCGGAAGTATGACTACCAAAACTGAGTCCACGAACTCAGGTCCTTGAAGAACCTGATTAATAGTCAACAGATGGTAAAGAGCCAAAAGAAGAACAATAATTCGAAGAAAGTTATGTATTGGCTGGAGCTTGGAAACAGATATGACTTCAAGTATTTAAAAGAGGCGCAGTTGTCGAAAGATGCAGAAGTCGTAAGAAAATCTTATTCATTTGCAGTAAATGGCGAAACAGACAACCATAATGTACTACTCAGTATTACTGTTCAGCTTTGTTCCCATGGATCTTTTGGTGGTTCCGACGTATATCTTACCACAGGTGCACGGTGATATACCTCTGCTGCTGATAGTGGATCTCTTTGATCTTTAGCCGACCTGAGACTTTTTTTATCTTCTTGGTGACTTTGAACACCGTTTTAGTGTTGTGTTTCTCTAAAAGTTTTCCAATTGTGTCTGTAACCGTAGCGAAATATGGTAGCCTCCTCCCTTTTTTGAACTGTGGTACTCTTCAGTTTCATGGTCTTGTTGATCTCGTGTACACTGTATCCATCCGATCTCAAGGTCACTTGAATACGTTCCATTTCTTCCTTTGGATGCTCCGGTTCACAAATTCTCCAAGCCTGTTCAGTTAGAGTAGAGATGACTCCTCTCTTTTGACTAGGATAGTGGTTTGATAATGCGTGCGGGTATATATTCGTGTGTGTGGATTTTCGGTTCCGAATCATTCGATGAGTACATCTAGGAATGCCATTCGCTGATCCTGTTCAGTCTCCATGGTGAACTTGATGCTGGAGTGCTGAGCGTTCAAGTGGTCTAGGAAAAGGTATGGAGTGTCCCTTCCATGTTTCCAGATGACGAAAATTATGAGGAAAATTAGCAGTTTTTGTAAAAAAACGATTCAAGTGAACAATACCCTTAATTTTTTTCACAACAGGATATTGATAAATGTGTTGGAGATGTTCTATAATGTAGAGAACAACAAGTGAATGATGCTTTATATATATTTTCCAGACTGTCGCAGATCTTGGTAAGTATCAACTCACCTTTCTGAAATCCCCCTGTATAACCATCGGCGGCGGATGGGTGTTCCTCGAGTTGGGCGCCGGAGGGGCTCGCAAGGGAGATGCCGTGAGATCCAAAGCCTCTCGCCCATTATCCTGAAACAAAATCGAAGCGCCATGAAATAAACGCGTCTAATGAGGGCAGAATGAAAAATCAATACCAAAACTGAGAAGAACACTAAATGAGGTGCAGTATCTTGAGAAATTGTTTTGAAAAACTCATGTATGTTCTGTTGTGATTAATTTTGGGTGCATACAGCGTACGTCAAAAGTCCTAGAACGTTGAAAAATTTAATTGTCAATTAAGCATTGTTTGTGATTTGTTATCTATGTAAAGAAATTAGATTTCTTTAATTTTGAATTTGGCGCGCTTCGCGTGCTGGCATATCAATGTCAAACTTACTAGTCTGTAGTTTTTGGTTAGAGGTTAGATTCAATGAAATGTGGCGATAAGAAAAAAGCCGAGAAATAGTTTCATATTGAGAATTATTTTGTGACTATACAAATCGGAAAGGAGGAATAGAATTTGTATGTTGTTTCTTCCATTTCAGGTGAGGTTTTTACAAAAGTGTACAAAAGTGTTAATAAAATGTTTTCTTTGATAAGTAACTAACAAAATAAAACTTTCATTTCAGCAACAAATAGTTTTATTTCAATCCTAACCCAAAAGATATAGTCTTATATCTATATACGAAAATGTGCAAAGAATTTATTGAACAATTAGAAATTAATTAAAATAATCAAGAAAGATTTCAAACCAAGTTATATTAACTATTTCTCCAAGAGATGACTAGGTATTTATAGGTCATTCGAAAGCTTTCATCTATACCCTCTTCCCACTCTCCGCTTCACCGGTTTAGAGGAAGTTGACCGTTTTTCCGCTTGATTACAGGTTTCTATATTAAAATATCAATACTGTTTATTTAATGAGGGTTTTACAAAAACCCCAACACTGTTTCTTTATAAAAAAGCTTTCTCAGGCATGAAATAATAATTATTTTACGTTTGAGAAAGTTATTGTATAGCGAAACACAAGTCGCAATTTTTGTGAAACCCTTTATGATGAGAATCATACAATAAATGATTTCAGTGACTAAATGCGTCATTGGTCAACATATGTGCAGCTTCTATGAACTTCCTCTTGAACCAGTGTTTCTCTCTGTTGATGATCTCAACATGAGACCAACATGATGAGTCCAAAGATTCTCTGCTATTCCCTTGTGCTCTGCAATGCAGACTTTCATTGGTCTCTCAGTTTCACTGATGTAGGATTTTCCGCACCCACAGGGTATCTTTCGATATATTGATGGTGTCTGAATCACGAATTGAGTAACACAATAAAAATATTTCTGAAGTTGAATTGAATTCTTCATATTTCAAATGTTCTGAAAATATCTAGATAATAAATATCCTATTTCTCCAGTTTTATTTTCTATTCGATTGAAAAATAATAAAAGTTCAAGTCTCAAAGTGGATCCCCGCAATTACGTTACCATTGTAATCCTTGCCTCTTTTCGAATGTTTTTGTACTCAAAAATCCTTTTCCGTATCATCGTATCACGTCAGTTCCGTCTTATAGAGGTTTATAAACCGTTTTAGTTTGGGAAGGAGTTTTCGTTCAGAAAGGATAAAAATAAAACTCCTTATCCTTTAGGCGGATAACAAAAACGCATCTCTAATATGGTTTCCCGATTGTTTCTTGTCTGATAGGATTAGCGATATAAAAACAGTAAAGTAACCGAAGGATTTCAGTTGATCTCCAAATGACTTTATAATTGAAGAAGGTATTTGTACACTATCAGTGAAACGTGAAATTTTCACGTCCAAGAAGTTTATGAATTACTAAAAAGAATTGAATTGTGCCGTTCCTCATTTTTTCCATTCCCTTAATCGATAAAAACACCATTCCTACTTGTTCCGAAATTGGTTCATAAAATCATCCTGGCTGAGAGTTATATCAACACGAAACTGTCATTTCTCATATAAAGACTTCAACGTTTAACCTGCTGCGGAAAACTTTCTCATATCCTGAGTCCCCATAAAGTAGCAACGAAGCTCTTAGAGGACATTAAAGATCACCTTCATAAAACAAACTTTTCTCGACACTTTTATGGTAATCGATGAGAGACTTGGTAGAATGGATGTCCCATTTAATTAATATTCAGACAGGGAAGTCCTGAGTCTGCGAGGCTACGTTTCGAGAATATTGCCCGAATATCTTCAGCTAACTAAGTTAGACATTGTTCAATTTATTAAATTACCAGCTCGGGTTTTGAGAATTTGATAAAGGAAACATACCATATTCCAACTCGGTATAAATAGCTATGAGATGGGAAATATTTGACATTAAATTATTCGAGTGCCTTCAAATTACCATTTCCAAGTTATGAAAAGTTATTTTGATCATTCATAGAAATATAGTTACGTATTTATCTCTCCTCAATCAGTAATCAGGCCAGTAATGAGGCCAAACAGCCAGTAAAATCATATCAACCTTGTAGAAAGCATTCGTCTTTGATAAAGGTTGCGAGTCCAAGTTCATTTTCATTATTTATTATTTCACTCTAGAATGATCCATATTTGTTAAGGAAGAACTACATTGAAATAAAATGCAGAGAAGTATGAATTGTGAGTTACTTCGATCATTGTACTCTTTTATTGCAAAAAAACTATCATTTTTATTGTTGTTATTATAATTCAATCATATGAAATTTGGATGGATAGATGTATGCCCATTATCAACACTCTTCGCAAAATCTAGTTACTGCAGAACGTGCATGTTCTGATTTTCCATAGTTTCACCAAATATTGTGTTATCAGTCATCATGTTTTCGAGTTATTTCAGTTTCATTGGGAGATTTTCACCACATACTTTACAAAATAATAACACATGTTTCACTCTACAATTATTTCTTCAGACGTGTTAAATATTTGAACAAACATTTTAGAGGATCTTGCATAGTGCAGCGCGAGTTGCAATTTTTGAAACATCACTATGAATTTTCATTTATGTATTGGCAATGCTATTTTTCAACAGTGAACAGTGAAAAACCAGATGTTGAACAAAATCAGAGACTGCAATATTATAAATGATACTGACACTGAATTATCGCTAAAACAATCACTTTGGAGAATTGTAAAAAAAATTATTCAAGTTTTCTGAAATTTTATGAAAAACTGTTAAATGAAAAATTGATCATTATTCAATTCTGTAGAGTTCGTTTCGTTCCCAGAAGTAAATGCTTTCAAGGACAATCAAATACACTAGTGGTCATTTAGAATTTTGATTCGAACTTTTTTATGGAGTTGTGGAAGAGAAGCCACACACTAGTTTTGACGCCCCTGCACCGGCTATGATCTCAGCAAAATATTTTTATGAGATGTTAGAAATATTACCAAGGTAGCATATGGAGAACTGGCCTCTCTTTTATGCTGCAAAAAACATTTAACACTTGATGTTATTGTTACCTTATCGATTCCACTTTCAGGAATTCGATAAACCATTGAAATTTGCCGATGTTCAAATGTATACACAAAGTATTAATATTATAATCTTCCAAAGATCGACCATTTTTCAGATTATGCACCGTTTATATTCCAGTGCGAAACTATCAAATTTAACACGCATTTCATGAGAAGAGGTGGATAATTAACTGCTCGCCGATAACAGAAAAAACAGAAAACTGAACTCAACGAACTTCAAAATCGTGTTTCGCATATAAAAATTTCATTAAATCTAAATAACTGAACATGAGAGTTTGTACAGATATGCAAAACAAATGGGATGTTTGTCGTTGTGTTTTCGAGCTAGTCTCACGAAATTTTAATCGAGTTTGAAGCATTGCTAATTTGATTCCAGCACACGCTACATTATCACGAAGGGTGGTAGGAGTTATACAGATTGACAAAAATGTTTTTGTAGTCCACATCTGGGTTATTGTTTGATGACTGTGGGTGATGCAAATCAAGTTGCCAAATACTCTTCACCTTCAATTTACAGTCTCTGGAAGAAAACATTTCGACTTCAAAATCAATCACAAATGTTATACGTATTATCGAACAGACATTCCAAGGAAAAACACAAGGATGAGAACATGAACACGGATATAACAATTCATAGGACACGTTACATTTCCGTTTTTCTTCAATTATTTATTTGTTCTTCATATTTTCCTGTATAAACATTCCATTTCATAAAAATGAATAAGATGCAAACCTAAGAAAATCATTTACCAACCTTGAACTCAAAAATAATTTCGATTGAAACCAAATCTCTATCAATTCTCAGAGGATTGCCTACTCACCCCAATCTGTGAACCTTTCCATTCCTGCACACCCTCTCAGCCTTTTATTCAAACGGAAAGACAGCTAAAGGAATGGCTGAATTTCCAATTTAATGGTCTGTTCAATGAAATATTAAAAATTCAACGATCGTCCAACTTCAAAGAAGCCACAAGTGCAAGAAAATGGACCTTATCACGAGGTCTGGAAGGAATTCAGGATTCTGGAGAAATTTGAGAACAGACAATATTAGGAAACCTTCAAAAATACGTTGCCTCTGGCTGGATTCGATTTTTTTCTGCTGACAGGTTTTTATTGTTTCTATATAGAAAATGTAACATGAAAAAAACTTGTGGATCTTGCTCTCGCCTGTTAGTAACATGTGTGACAGATATAAATTCAAAATGGAGTGAAGTAACACGTAAGCTACGTAAGAATTGTAGGTTATTATCAGTCATCAGTAGTCGCATGTCGCAATTAACTGAATATGACGATCATTTTCAGTAGATTGATTTAAAATCTTACGCAGTCTAAATGCATTACAGCTTCATTGTAGAAAATTCGATCTTCCCGCTCGAAAACATTCTGATAGATATTGCTGACTTTGCTTCTATCATGACATAACAATAGGAAAGTAATGGAATATTGAAAGTGATGCACAAAAAAAATATTTTTAACTAACTAAACTCTTTAACAGCCCAATCGTTATATCTCAAAACCTGAATACTTAAGTTTTAAAAAAACTGGATCAAAACAAGTTGATTTCGTAATTTTCCCGCGTAACGTCAAAAATATTTTCCTGACTCCAACGAACA